ATTTTTTCGTTGAACCCTGAAGAATCTGTGTCTGTAAGTAACACTGTAGCTGAAGTTATCTTAACTTACTTTAAGTCATGACTTTGAAATATCTGCCTTTATATAAGTGTCCAGTTATAAACACAATACTACTTTAGGTTAACATTTCTATGGTGTTTTCAAAGAGCATAAATGACAATTGTGGGTCAGCGGCATGTATTTAAAAGAACTTTTTGACATTTTATTGTGCGTTTTTATTGGGCATGAAAATATATAAATCAATGTTTACTTTTCATTTAAAAAAAGCCATATTTGTTTAAACTACTGGTAGTTTGTTTGTATTTTAGAGTTTATATTTCAGTTTCACAGTGTTTTGGATAAACATCATAATACAACCAGCTGCTTCCTGGTGTTTATTCACCAACCTGATAACCACAGATATTTGAGAGACATCGATAGTTGTTTAATTATCACATCACAAGCCTCTGAATCATAACTGAATCAAATCACGAGGCGTCTAAAGATTTCTAAGTGACAACGTCTGAGTTTATTATTTTTCTAGTTTTACCTTGGCAGTTCTCATCTGTGTTTGTGTCTCCTGGCTCCAATGTGTTTTTGCAGACTACAAAATATATATAAAAAAAAAAAAAGTAAAATTTTAAATATTAAGTGAATTAATAGTTAGAACATGTTTCTACACAGAGAGAGACCAGCGTTTGACCTCCAGTCTTGGGATCGCAGGTGTTGCTGTTGCCGTTGCAGTTACATGGCTGACACCGTCCTCCTGGCGTCAGCGGGTCGCCATAGTAACCAGGAGCACAGCTGTGGGAATGGCAAAATAAAAGGCACAGAATAAGTAGCTAATTAAAAATAATAAGGAAACAATATTCCTGTCTGCTCACCTCCCACATCTGTCTCCAGCGTAGCCGGTTCTGCAGACGCACTGGACGATTCCGAACACGTTTCTGCAGCCGACTGCGAAACTGATCGTCGACAGGAGGATGTAATTTACAAAACATGTTTTTATTTAATTACAGTGGAGTAGAAAGTCTCTTTTTTTATATATATATTCTCACCCACCTGTTTGTGGATATGCTCAACGGACACGGGCACAACCTGCATGTCCTCTGCAAAGCGTTGCCATAGTAACCCTCTTTGCAGCGTTCACATCGGTCGCCAGCTGTGCTGTACCGACAGTTCTGAAAACACCACGACATGTTCATTAACCAGCTTCCAAAACACAAGAAGAAGAAACTGTATTCTGATATTCAACGACATACCAGTTGTCTGAAGCAGAAAAAGTTTTTTTTTTTTAAGTTAAATCTCTTATTTTAAATCATTAAGTAGCATGTTGTGTGATCTCTGAGGTGAGTTCAGCTGCTTGTGTATGTTTTTTTTATGAGCTGTGAATATGCGCCTCTATGCAGGAGCTGCATGCACAGTCTTGAGAGTCTTGCATAACCATTGCACAATAGAGGGTTTGAAGTGCATAAAAGCTCGTGTTTTTAACAAAGAGCCTAAAGAGCGAGCGGCTAAATGAGTACAAATGAAATGACGGTTTTGATAGTGTTTAACAAAAGTGACTAAACATTAGCTCAGTAATCATTTATTCTAAGGTTTGACTGGATGTCTGCGCGCATGTAATTGCTGATTGAAACAAGAGTCCATGTCTTACCAGACACCTCCCTGTCCAGTCCTCGCACTCGTCAGCCAGGTCGTTGCACTCGCAGGGCACACAGCGGCCCAGGTATCCATGGCCGTCCCGGTAGAAGCCAGGAGCGCATTTCTGGGGAAGATAAATGCCGATATGTACACATGAGTACCCACAGAGAGTGCCCAGCTTGTTATAAAGGTGAACTCGTTCACCCAAGTGTACCACTGTCCTCACATCAATGTCAGAAATTAATCTAATCCTGCACAGTCGTGTAAATGCAGCGATCAATCGTAAAAATAAACTTGTTTTTGACTTTGAAATCTCTGCTTTGTTTATCACCATGTTGCCTAGCGTTGTGTAATAAGCAATATGGCAGTCTACAAACTGTCAGCGCATTTTCCTTCTCACTTATTGCGGCATTTTTAGAGATTTTGTCACCACTGACAGAAGATGAATTAAAAACTACTCTCCCGTACGGTTTTAGCTGTAATTTGTACGTTGAGCACACAGCTGATTGAGCTGATTTTACTGTCATTAACTATTAACAACAAAAAACGCCCTTTGCTTTCAGAGATAACAGTCGTTAACCATCTGTGCATGACACTTTGAGCTCAAAAGGCACTAATGTAAAATGCCACCCTTTTCCAACTAAATGGACCCCATCTTTGCAGATTTTTACCTGAACTTGAGAACTGTCACTAAGTGAAGGATACTGAAGTCTCTGTCCCTCATCCTGCATTGAGGGGTAGTGCACCGTTTGGACACCTTGGCTGTTTACAGATGGAAACTCTATCCGCTGAGCTCCCTGCTCTTGAAGCAGAGAATAGTGCATCGTCTGAGTCGCTCTGTCATGATGCCTGCTGTGGGGGGGTTGCTCCCTCCTGCTGAAGAGTCTGTGCCCAGCGCAGCAAAGGCCAATCAAAGTCCAAAATAACAGCGTCCATAACAGAAACCCTTTCCGCCAGCATGTACCCATGCTCGTATCCAACATGTCCAGAGTTTAGCCAGAGCAAAATGCCGCTCTGCTCCCCCTCTACCTCTGCTTCTTAAACGCACACACTGAGACACAATGAGGACACACCCCATTCACCTGAGTCAGGTGTGCAGATCAGCATGAGTGTATGCAGGGCGAACAAGCACTCACATGCAAGTGTTTTCATGATCTTATACTCTGACACACACACACGCACATGCACACACGCACGCACGGACGCACACACAAAAGAATCAGAAAAACAATGACAAGAAATCAACTGTCTCAACAGACAAAATGCAGAAAAACACCATTTTTGGACTTCAGTTGTGCTGAAGCCAAAACAAAGCCTCTTGTTTAAAAGTTTACGTTTAGTTGCATTTATCACATCTAGACTGGACTATTGCTATGGTTTGTTATCTGGGCGTCCAAATACTTCTTTATAAAGTCTTCAATTAATCCAAAATGCTGCTGCCAGAGTCTTAACTGGAGTTAGTAGGAGAGATCATACCTCTCCAGTTTTAGCTTCTCTTCATTGGCTCCTTGTCAAATCCATAATTGAATTCAAAATCTTATTTCTAACCTACAAAGCTCTCAACAACCTAGCTCCATCTTATATTCGAGATCCTGTTGTTCCATATTTTCCTAACAGAGCACTCCGCTCTCAAACTGCAGGTTTACTTGCGGTGTCTAGAGTTTCCAAAAGCAGAATGGGAGGAAGATCTTCCAGTTATCAGGCTCCTCTCTTGTGGAACCAACTTCCAGTTTCTGTCCATGAGGTTGACACATTGTCCAGTTTTAAGACTGGGATTATGACTTTCCTTTTTGATGAATCCTATAGTTAGGGTTGGCTTATTATGCTGCCATAGACTTAGACTACTGGAGAACAAATTGACCTAATTTCCTAAAACAAATTGTTACAACTGAATAGTTTTAATTCACTACTATTTCTATCATAACCTGATTCTTGACCTGCCATTGTGTATCTGTTCCTCTAAAATTCAGCCGGTCGAAGCAGATGGCCGCTTGTCCTGAGCCTGGTTCTGCTAAAGGTTTCTTCCTCATGAGGGAGTTTTTTTCTTTCCACTGTTGCCGTCATGCTTGCTCAAGATGAGAGTCTGCGATGGAGTTAATTTCAAAGCAGTCTGCTCCTCAGATAAATATTAACTTATTTTTATGAATATTTCTGTTCAGTGCCTGAGATGACTTCTGTTGTGACTTGTTTCTATATACCGGTAAATAAACTGAATTGAACTGATTTTAATTAAAAATCAAGTAACATATCCAATATCTCGTCAACTTTGCCACATTCTGCCTGTTGTTTTAGAGTTTGTGCAAGAATGTGTGACTGAGGGGAAAGTCAGACGTCCTCAGACAAGACACAGTCCTGATTCATTCACCTCAAACACATAACAGACATAACTGGGTGTGTCCGCTGTACTTACAGACACACACACGTTGCGGTGCTACACTCAGGTGAACACACTCAGATTTATGAGTAACGTTATGTTGCCAAGTGCCACACCCCATATTTCAAGCCATGGCGCCGTGTCATACCACCTCTAGATACATATAATCAGCTTCCTTTAAACACGCCCCTTTGGTTGGGGGCACAAGCACACACAGGTAAGCAATCATATCCACGACAACAAGACCGCATGTGAAAATCTAATTAAATATTTTGTTTATAATAAACTACCCTCTTTAATTATGGTTGCCCAATTTTCTTTTTTCATTTGGTTTTGTGGACAAAACAGAGGAATAAATGTGAGAAGCTCAAACACCCTTCAAACGCCGGATCAAGATCCCTTCCTGGAATGAAAAGAAAAATAAAGTTTCTCTTCTTGAGTACATATTTAAGTACTTTATTTCTGCATCTACGCTCTTTATAATAGTTGTAGAATCTGTAATGCCATGTCTGGTTGTGGCGCACATCGAGCCCTGCGGCTACATTGTTCGGCTGCACGGCTCTCTGGATCAGTATTTTCCAGCGAGTCCCCACAAACGTACGCAGCTAACAAATTTTCCCTCCAGGATAAAAGGTGTGGTGCTCGGCGCAGGCATGTCAGGACGGCCCAAAAGTTTATGAGGAGGACATTGAGCTCCTCAAGAAGATGAACTGACATTTTAGTCAACGAGATGCCCCACCCTGATTGTTATTCTAGCTTCTCAGTGTTGAAGGAAAGACTGATTTTTTTTCATCTTTTTATCGTCTTTTTCAGTGTTTTCTTCTGTTTTTGTTTGTTTCTGGTACGGCTGAATACTCCATGTACAGTTCAATGGGAGGAAAGACTCAAATATGATACGATTGAATGTTCTATTAATGTAGAAAAATTCAGGAGCTTCGTAAAATAAATATACAAGCATAGCTTTTAAAAAGACAAGTGATGAGATGTTTTAGCCTTCCTTTGATTATCGCCTGATGCCTAAAGGCAAATGATGATAATATCCTGATGCATGCTCAATAATGATAATGATAATGGATGATAATGTTTTTGTGTGTGTGCTTATGTCTGTTAACAAAATATCTCATGAACCACTGGAGAAATCATAATAAAGCTCACAGAAATAATCAGTGGATGTACATTTACAATGTTTTAGCCTTTGGAATCAATCTAATTCAAGACGGCCGCCATTACCAACTGACCTTAAAAACACAAAAATGGATATAACACAGTCAGTTTTATAAAAATAGATCTGAAGTTTAGTATGGGAGTAGCTGAGATTGATCCCCGATAAATATTACACACACTAATGGATTGAGCAAGATCTTTGTTTATAACTCAGCTATTAACTATTTGAAGTCAACTCTGTTTGTCTGTTAGCAAACTAACTAACAAAACATTAAACTAATTTTGATGAAACTTTCAAGAATTAAAGGTTAGATCTAATCAGAATGTCTTTTTTGTCATTATATGCAAGTACAATGAAATTGAGAGCCACTCCTTTTTCAGTGCAAAACATGCTTAAAACACACACACACAGTAAATATATAAAAATGTAATGCAATACAGATATAATAGCACTATGAAAGTAAAAAAAATACAAGTTATTTCACAATTATGTAAATTTGAATATTGCACATTATGGATATTAGTGAGGTAATTAAGAGGTGACTGAGAGGTTAGGTGCAGAGGTAAGGTTAGATCGAAATCTGCAATTGATTAATTTTAAAAAATACTCCAATTCAAAATGGTCGTTGCGGCCAACTGGTCTTAGAAAACACAAGAATCACTATACTTCTGTCAGTTTTACAGGTATTGAACTAAAATTTGGTGTGGTGGGAGCTGAGGCCTTCATAGCAAATATTCTGAGCATGGCATCCCACAGTTCTGCAAGAAATTACATAAAAGGTTTATCCAAAACTGCTATAGCTTTGTCATATTTTAACAAATTGTGATCCGAGTCTAAAATCGAATTAATCCACATATTTAAATGTAATGTTTCGATTACACAAGACCACACTATAAAATGTGTGCAAAATATTGAGCAAGGCGACCACGACAGCCAACCGCTATAGCTGCAATAAAAACATGGTAATCATGTGCGGATGAGGAGAAGTGCTTGAGTTTATATATCTAACTATCCCAGATTGTTTTGATGGTTTTCTAAAAAAAAAAAAAAATGTTACAAAGATTCTTGTTAGAAGTTGCCATTTATCTTAGAAGAAACCTGACTCTGAGGAATTTATTGCAAATCCATTTGTTTTCATGCTTACATGGAATGTTAAAGGGTTCAACGCAGGAACTTTCTTCAGTTCATTAGTGAGCCTCTGTATAAGGTTTTAGGACAGAGAATTTAAAATAAGCCAGTGGTGGTCACAGTGCTTGTTCCCAATATAAAATCAAATTCAAAGATTGTGTACATTGCAATATTTGTAAATATGTAGATATATATATATATAAATTCTTCTTTCAGCTGCTCCCCTTCAGGGCTCGCCACAGCGAACTAAGTCGCATGAAGACTTGGCAGTTGTTTTTTTTATGATGGATGCCCTTCCAAACACAACCACAGACCACAGAGCTACCACGGCCCTCTGTGTGGAACAGAGAGCTGCCATCTAGGGCGCCCAGGGGAGCAGATGGTGGGGGGTTAAGAACCTTGCTCAAGGGCTCAGAGGGGCAAATTAGGGTGAAGGTAGGTGTGGATGCTTCACCATTCCCACCCATATTTTTATGTTGTCGGTCCGGGGAGTTGAACCGGCGACCTTCCGATCACAGGTCCACTTTCTCTAGCCTCTGCGCCACCACTCCCCAAGTATTTTTATATTCAAGTGCAAGAGAAAATTAGGTATATAAACATTTTAATTCATATTTTATTTCTAAGCAACAATTGAACCGTATTATGTACAGTATGTACCAGTAAGTATGTATTAAGTATGTACCATACCTTATTAGGTATGGTCTTATTAGGTGAGAAACATTTGATTAAAATTGGGCTGACATGTCTAAAATTGATGTAGACTGGTCCATAATTTTGCCTAACAGCTCTGACCCATCAATATAAATGTTCCACAAGGCTCTAAAGTGGCCCCACAGTTCAGTTTGATTAGATTTGTTACTTTAGTTATTTCACTATAAAAACTCTGTCTATTTGAAGTGGATCATATCGGCCATAAATTTCTCTCATAAGTTATTCTGCATGCAAAGAGAGCAGCTAACCTCACACGAGTCCCCAGTGTACTGAGGAGGGCAGCGGCAGACCTCCACGTTGTTTCCTGGACTACCAGTCCCTGAGTTTGTGGCCTCCTCCAGACCCACCTCCCCCAGGCTGAGTCGCTGGCTCTGAGTAAAATACAGAGCTCGGATCCTCAGGCCCACCAAACCTGCCAAGACCATCATGAGGTCCTCTCTGGAAACAGGCCTGTTGGTACCTGCATGGCGCCAGTTTCTCTGCAAACAGAAGAAAACTTGAGGCCTAATCCTAAGAAAACATAAGTGAGGGGACTCCTCTCAAAGACATTTTAACAGCCATGTAAAAGTATTAAAACTATATGCAGATGCTCTAATGAACTGTATATTAGTTGAACAATGTTCAGTCAGGTCATCTGGACGGTTTCTTTTTTTACTGAGACGTTTCATCCTTCATCCAAAGAACTTCTTCAATCTGAGGAGCCTCATCAGAATCAGAATCAGAAAAAGCTTTATTATCATTGTACTGGGATACAGTGAAATTATGTTTGTACAGTGGTCCAAAAGTTGGGCGGAGTGCACATTGCTGCTGCTATATTAGTGCAGCCCCTTATTCTTTATCAGAATAATTTTAGATAGTAAAAGGTTGCGATACACAAAGCTTTTCCCCTAGTTACCCGTGTCCCAGGAGAAATTTGATAGTTGGCTTGTATCCAAGGCCAAACGGGAGAGTCAGATTCAGATAAACCACAATTGTTGATTTTCTTCAGGCAGACTGTTTTTTTTTTTCTTGTCAGCCTTGAGTCCTGCTGGAACTTTCCCACTCCAAAATGGCCAGATTTAAGGGTATTTCACTCCACTGATCCGTGTTATGAGCCTTCTTCAAGGTCGATCCCAACAGGCTGGCGAGTCCTAGAAGTTGCAGGTGACCTGAGATTCTCACAAAATCGCCTCCATCTTATGGCTTAGCTCATAAATCAGCTGATTTTGAGTACTCATGGCATGAATCAAACCTTCACACAGATTCTGAAGCTTTGTCATGGCTGAAACTGCTGCCGATGTCTTCTTCAAAAGTTGATAAAAACAGAGCCCCGCCAATGCCAAAGAGCAGAATCCCTGCTATCATAAATCCAAATATATAAATGCCTTTGGCGTCCTTCTGAGACAGAACTGAGAGATGCATCAGCTGTCAAACTCCCCACGGATCTCTGATGTATCCTGCAGCATGAGTCTCAGCCGAGCAAGAGGGTTCTCCAGGACCCTGTTGTTTTGTTGAAAAGATTTTGTCGATTGCGTTGAAAGTCCAGCTCACCAGATCCATAATAGTATTTTTCATTCGGGAGATGTGTACCAGGAGCTCCAAGACACACAGAGAGCAAAAGCAGGAGGAAGAGGAGAACAGAAGGAGAGCAGAGATGTCTGTCTTGAGTGAGAGCCAGAGGAGAAACCACCAGCAAACTGTTTTTTTCCACTATGGGAGTGAGCTGTTTATGGGACTCAGTTTGTTTGGTAGCTCCTCAGATTGAAGAAATCCTTTGGATGAAGGACAAAACGTCCCAGCAAAAAAAGAAACCATCCAGATGACCTGACTGAACATTGTGGGATTTTTATCTGGATTACTGAGCATGAACTTTGTTGTATATTAGTTGGTTTTCTTCCTCTAGTGTTGTGTACCACAAGCATGAAAGTGTCACCATGGATAAAGAAGTCTGGACCTGGCTCTTGAAACATCTCTTGTTTTGTTGGTGTAAAATCTAAACTTTCAACAAACTTTCTGGAATTTCAGGTCCATTCAAAGAACCTTCATGTTTGTGGAATATGATCAGTGTGTGCTACATCGTATTCCAACTTTTTCATATTGTGTGTTTATTCTGCAATAAAAGCTCACTAGTTTCATTAAACAGTAAAGCTTTTAGTTTACCTCCAGGAGCTGGACTCTGGCCTCATACAGCCGGTCTGGAAGTGGTGCGTGTGAGGCCACGTGGATCAGGCTCATGTCCAGACCCTGGAAGGGTGAAATAATAAATGAAGATCAATATAATGCAATTCTGCCAGTGAGGAAAAAATAAGTAGGTTGAAAAACGCACAGTCAGCACAACATCAGGTTGTCTGTCGATCAGAACCATTCCTTCACTGGGAATCCCAAAAGATTTGGACTGGTATGTGAGGAAACCACCATATGATGAAACCTAACAGAGGGTAAGAAAGAGCAAACGTTAGTTTGGTGATTTGAATGAAGTCTGGAGAAATGCGTCTCGCTATGTAAAAGTGGGCAATTATGCACAAACCCCGAAGTAAATCTGATTGTAGATGGCTGCCACATCCAACTGGCTTTAAGAATAAAACATAAAAATAGCTATAGCTCAGTAAAATTTACAGATATTGGCCAAAAATAGTGTTGTAGTAGCTGAGAGTGGTTGAAAACATGTACTCTGAGTGTCACTTTGCAGGGTTGCATGAGAGGATTGCCCAAAAAACTACAACTCTGTCATTTCTTAACATTAAATGATCTTTGTCTAAAAGTCTGGCATAAAAGCTTGGAGATATGTATTCCTTGAAGAAATTATGTCTTTTAATTAAAAAAAAAAAAAAAAAGCTTGTGGGTATGCACCATTTTTGTTCATTTTTGCTGTTGGTTTTTTTTATTATTTTTTTTTACCAAATATAAGGTTAATAAAAATATGTACATGGTACAGAAAAAATGTATCAGAAAGGAGCTAAAACTATACTGCTCGTATATATTTTAATTTTATTATATATACAGAAAGGGTGCATCTGTATGATGAAGCGGCAATAAATATCTTTCCAACAGTTAGTAAAAATACCACCCAGTATCTCTTTTCAACTGGATATTTTTATGGACTGTGGTTTTCTCCATTCTGACTCACCCTGTTTCCCAGGTAGGGCTGTGGCGCCACCCAGTGCAGTGTCTGAACAGTAGGGGGGAGCTCCTGGACATCTGCCACCGCTGTGTTACTGAACTTGTTCAGTACTGAAGGAACCTCCTCCTTGTCGGGGGTTTCCAAATGCCAGCCTTGCATCTCCACAAACTAATAACAGACAACATCTGGGAGTGAGTGTACTGTAGTTATGGTGTTTCACACTAAATACGCTCACACATTTCATTATCAAAAAACCCAAACTCCTTGGCAGAGCCGAAGCTGTAGCATTTTGAAGATCTGATCACCATGTTGAAAGAATACATGGGGGAGAAGCTGACTGAGCTCATATGGATGTTCTGATCCGCACAAAAATCCATACCTTGCCTCTGCGCTTGTGGGAGCTCTGACACTGGTTAGTGGCTCCGAAGCAGAAGCAGCTGGTGCAGCCGAGAGGGTTGGAGGGGTCAAAATAAAATGAACCTTCCCGACATGCATCACACCTGATGCCAGCAACATTTCTCTGCAAACAAGACAGCAGCCATACTAAGAGAGTTAATTTAAAAAAAAGGCAAATGGGAAATTTTTCAGTCAGCAATTTGATGAGCTGAAGTCACCTTGCAGAGACACTTTCCCGTGTCAGGGTGGCACACATCAGATGTGACTCCTCCTTTATTACAGACACAAGGCACGCAGTTGGGGTAGCGATAATAACCCGGAGCACAGCGATCACACTGCCGGCCTTCAATAAGAGGCTTACAGCTGTAGAAAAAATGCACAGAAGCCTAATTGTTAGTCAAATCCTCAGTACACAGCCTCTGTTGTTGACACTGGAAAAGGCCTCGCCTCAGAATGCCACGACTTTAATTTTCCAGTCTTCAGTATCAGTATTAACTGATTGTTAAGGAAGAAGCAAAAAAAAAAAAGCACACCAAGTAATAATAATATATATAGTTTAGTACAAGTACATGATTTCTTGACACCTGGGTCTTAAGGGGAATGCACTCACTGTGATCTCTATGTTGATGGTAGATTTGCATCTTTTGAGCAGCTGGTACAGAAGTTTAATATTCACAAGTCACAGTTTATTAGATATTTGCAGCTGAGACATTTTGTGAGATCTAACTCTGATTGTTTTCCCTTTGTACCCCTCTAAACATTTTGTGGCTAAGATTTTGTAATGTAGGTCTGATACCATGAGGGCCCTTAGCAAAATGTATACACTGCTCAGTTCATACCATGAGTCCAGTTTGGACCTCCTTAAACTGAAATGGGAAACGGACTTGGAGTAATCCATATCAGACTCAATATGGAGAAGAATCAATAAGAACATTTACTCATCTTCAATCTGTCTGAGGCACACTGTAATTCAATTCAAGGTAGTGCACAGGCTGCACTGGTCCAAAGACAAGCTGTCTAAGATCAAAGCCAACCTGGACCCTGCATGAAATCATTGCAAACAAACTCCAGCTACACTCTTGCATACATTCTGGACCTGTTGGCAATCTATTTTTGACACCTTCTCTGGGATATGTGGAAAAATTGTATACTCATCACCACTCATCTCACTGTTCGGGGTGGTCCCTGTAGATACGTCCTTCAGTAAATGTGAGAAGGATGTAATTGCTTTTGGCTCTCTTCTGGCCAGGAGGCTAATTTTGTGCAACTGGAAGGACCCACACACCCCAGCATATGTACACTGGATAAGGGAGGTGATGTATCATATCCCCTGAAGGGGTCTGTCAAAAGATATTGAGATACTTGGCAGCCTTTTGTGTTGTACATGGAAAGCCTGGTTAATTTATTTGTGTGTGTGTGTGTGTGACTGATCCAGTGTGGGAGGGAAAGGGTGGAGGAGTTGTTCTATTTTTGTTCTTTTTTGTTGTTGTATGTTCAAAAACTGGGGGGGAAAAAAAACCCACAAAGTACATATTTCTCCTCCTATTTCTTTTTATTTATGCACGTAAACTATATTTCTTCTATTCACTAATGAATGCTGCACTCCGTTTTGTTTTGATAAGTGTTTATTGCGCACCTGGAGTTTGGACTCACCTGCACTGTCCAGTTGTGCGGTCACACTGAAGCCCCGCATCTGGATTTATGCCACTAGGAGAGCAGCCACAGTTCTCACAGCCCAACAACGGGTGGTAGCTGAACGTCTGCTCCTGACACACTTCGCAGGTCGGCTTCACTGTCTGAGGGGGGCAGATGCAGCGTCCCGTCACTTCGTCGCACAGCCGACGGCCACATTCACACCCTGCAGGTAAAACATCACAACTCCTGAGCTGAAAAATGTGTGAACATTTCTTCTGGATGAAAATTAGAGGCAGCAAATGGTGACTTAGCAGACAGAGTCACATTGTTTGTGCAGTATATGTCCTTTAGATTCACTCACGTCTGCAGTAGGGAAATCCGTAGAATCCTGTGGCACATTTTGTGCACTGCCGCCCGATGACGTGCTGCCTGCAGGGACACTGTCCCCCATTCGGATCACAGACAGTCCCAGTGGAGCCAGACTTGTCGCAGCCACAAGGCAGGGATCCATTATTATAAGCAGCTACAAGGGAACGAACCGACTCTCTGCAAAACTGGGATGAAGTTCTGGGCATTCCAGAACAGAAACAGAGCTCAATCAAACACAGAGAAGGTTTATACCTGATGATATCAGCTAGAGGGCACTATTTCCTCAATTATCTGCTATAATAAAAGCTAAACTGATATGATTAAACACCAGTAACAACTTTTTGTCTTGAACTTTTTTTTTTTTTTTTTTTGGAACTTGGAAGACATCTACAGAACTATAAAGCTATTGCTGTTAAAATATTTAGAATGGAATCTGACTAGTTTCATGTGTTGGATACGTACTGAGTGGAGAATCCTTCTGCAGAGCATCGTTGTAAAAAAGCTGCAGATTTATCCAGCGGCTTTTCTTTCAGGAGCTCCGGAGTGTAACTGCTGTCAGGAAGCAACATGATGTGATCCTAAACAAAACGCAAACCGTATCAAAACATGAAGGGGAAAAAAAAGGCAACAAAAATCCAGTTTGTTGCTACATTTCAATCTCCTGCTTTAAACAAGTTAAGGTTTTTCACAGACAGTTGCATGTGGATGCCAGGTAGAGTTGAGTTTTAGGGATGAGGCCTGACCCCAGGGCTTAAAATGTAAACCGACTGGTGCCGGAATGCAAATAGCGAGTGAGCCGGTGGCGGGGGTCGGGGGTCTAGTGGTCCTCCCCCAGAAAATTTTGAATAAAGTTGATGTGATTTCCTGCATTTTGGTGCATTTTAACAGGTTGTTAAACATTTATGTTCACCTACATTTGAAAAAAATCTCTGTTTCTGTCAAGCATCCTAGCTGTTATTTTGACAAATTAGCGCCTTTGTTTTTATGCAGAATGTGAATAATACACATTAAAACATTACTCTTGTTGTATTTTTAACAAATAATCAAAATTGTATTAATAACCCACTTAAACTGTCGAACTGATTGCAATTTCATTGTGCTGTTATATTTTTGAGTTTTTTTAATAAAATTGTGCAATGACTTTGGACTGGCAGCACGGTCGTGCAACTGGTAGAGCTGCTGTCTCTCAACGAGCAGGTCCCTGGTTCAAATCCCAGTCTGGGGGCCTTTCTGGGCAGAGTTTGTATGTTCTCTCCGTGCATGCGTGTTTTTTTTCCGGGTACTCCAGTTTCCTCCCACAGACCAAAAACATGCATGTTAGGCTGATTGTTAACTCTAAATTGTCCCTAGGTGTGAGAGAGAGAGTGAATGGTTGTTTGTCTCTATGTGTCCCTGTGATGGACTTGCGACCTGTCCAGGGTGTACCCCGCTCCTCGCACAGTGATTGCCGGACATGGGCACCGGCGACCCCCGTGACCCAAAATGGAAGAAGCGGGTAAAAGATAATGAATGGATGGATGGACTTTGGACTTTTAGGGGCGGAAATTTTTTTAAGGTTAGAAGCAGAAATGTTTACTTGAAGTGGCAGCTCTGATGTGATATTAAGAAGCTTGTAAGTGGCTGTTGTGTTTAAAATTTGTGTTTATGTAATTAGTTTCAGTTTACATATCCAATATAAGTTTTATTCGTTCAAGGCAGTCATATTTGTTCATAACTTTTTTATTAGTAACCCTGAGAGTTACCGGATCCAAGCAAACAGTTACTGGAACACACCCTGTCAAAATAAGAGAGTTCCCAGATCTTGTTCCAGCAGGATCCGGCATCAAGCACTGCCTGACCCTGAGGGAAGAGGGCCACTGCATGCCAGCTCCTCCATATGATCAACTCCAAACTGAAAGCTCTACAGAGCTCTGTATCATTTAATTTTTCTTTAGACAATTAAACGACTAGCGTTCCTTGAATAGATGCGAAGCTTGGAGCAACTTCAAAAGTTAATGGTACATGTTTAAGCAAATATTTTGTGTTAGCTTTTAGAGTATGTGTTGGGGCTACTACCACAGCAAAGTTTAGGTCAATATGTGTAAAGCTGACATACTTATAGTCATTTTTATGGGTTTCAAAGTCAGTTGGCTGTGGCAGCCATCTTAAATTGGGTTAATCAATCGAAGATTTAAATCCAATAAATTTCTTTCTGATAGTTTCATTAAAAAATCATCCAGTGGTTAAAGAGATAATTTGCTAACAGACAGGCACACACACACACAACTGTAGTTGTCTGCCTTCACCTTTTGGGCAGGCAGTAACTAACCAAAATAAGAGTTTTCCCAGGAGGCACAGAGATGGAGATGGTGGGTAGCTGCAACGAATTTGTGTCCAAGTCGAGGGCAATGCGTCCATCAGCAATGACAACCTCCTTACACCCTGAGACCGCAGGGCAGAAGGATGCGTTTATCAAACCTGCACCAGAAAACAGTTTTAAAGTTAGACGAAGGAAACAGCACGATGCTGCGAAACATGACTCATGGGAAGTGAGAAAGCGTCTCACTCAGAATAAACTCAAATGTCATTTCATCTGATCCAAATCAAAACGTTTCCTCTCACCCTTCCACACGTGCCCTGCAGCTACTCGCACTTCCACCGGGAAGGAAATGTGCTCGGGCTGCCGGTATTGGACCACAACCACATACCTGCCCGGAAGTGGAACTGTCGGAGTGAAACGGATCTCAGTCTAAGAGAAAAATCAAGAAATATTTTAATGTTTAAACTCCAAGTCCAGGAAAGGTTGCACTGCTCAACAAGATGAGGAAGGACAGTTTTTGCTCGATACCTGAGGGAATTTAAGCAGCGTCCCATCGCTTTGAGGCTCGAGGACAGAGTGCCCGGACTGCCGTCTCTGCCTCCAGTCCTCGTTTTGTCCATGTGCATGAGCAGCTGCATGTGAGGAAGACAGCTTCCCATCACGAGCTGCGTACAGAATCCAGGCCGAAGGCAGCTTGTCAAACTGCCGCAGGACACAGTATCGACTAAAGACATTAAACAGACATTAAACAGACAGAAGCAGTCGATAAACTGAACTGTGTGCTGATAGAAATCTGTGATTTTTAGCGTTAGACGAACAAATAAGACTTTTAAATCAACACTGAACCACTTCCGGCAATGCTTTGAGAAGAACGAGTCAGTTCCGATATTTTCTTTTGTTCGTTTTTATTTTGTGCATTCGTGTCGAGCTACAGAGCAGAAGACAGAGCTGCACGCTGACAGCTCTGACATCCAAACCGCTGATTACATTGTGAGTGAGTCAACTTAAAGCGATAGAAGGAGGCCTTAAAAGGTAAGTTCAGCTTCAGGTAAATAGCGCTGGCGTGCTCGAGGAGCGTGCACAGCTGGAGAACAGATGTGCATCCCTGTTATGTAGCTTGCACTCAGGGATGTTAGTCCAAGAAGGACGACGTTTTACATGATTTTTCAGCTGAAGATGCATTTTCTCTGTTAGCTGGGTTACAATAAGCACAAAACGAATTATTGTAGTGTTTTTTATCATGTTGACAGAGTTTTAATAAAAAAGGTTAACTAATAAAATCAGAACAAACGTTCACTCACATTAAGACATTTATGTCACAATGAAACAATGGTTCAATAAATGTTTCATTCTCTTTAATGTATGTATAATAAAAAAGGATAAAATGTCTAATTGGACTGAATAAGCCAAAGTTTTAAGCACATTCAGTTTTAGTGTATAAAAAGTGTGGTCTAGTGTGAGCTCACCTGTCTTCAGTGAAACGGCCATGAGTGGAAACACACAGAACCTTTGGCTCCACATACTCCATAGAGAAATCTTCGGCTGGCACTGCGTACACTTTATACTACACAGAGAGACAGTTGCATTCTTCAGGTTGCTACGCTCGTTACATATTAAGGTAAATATTTTCTGAAGCAGCCTCCTCACCAGAAGGAGTGATGTTGTGGAAGTGTGCAGGATAATCTCCGTCCTGTGAGAAAGCTGCAGCTTCGCCACTTGATTTTTGCCGTTCACCACCACACTCCGGCACAGCATGCTGCATGGATTAGCACACAACCCAGCCAAGAACATTTAACTTGATCTCTCGAGTTGTGACGTTCTTAGAAACTATAAAATGACTAATCAAAACACAGTGTAGATGTGAACGCATCTGACCTGAAAGCACAGTTATAAATGTTGGTCCTGGCTAAGATCTGGCCTTCAGACTGATCGCTGATGAGTATGTTGACATTCTGGACGTTATCCACCTCGCTGGCGTACTCCAGAACAAGAGCGTACAGGCCTGGATGAGGCACGTGCAAGCTGAGCTCCAGTCGTGACTACAAGATGCAGAAAATTGATTCTTTTCATAGGTTATCGTGAACGTTTGACACTTTACACATCATATATAAAAACAAATCAAGATTCTGTAGCTGAAGAATTTAAACTTTACTGGGCTCAATTTATGACAATGAGTAAAAGTTTGTGTCACTGAACCTGTCTCCCATTAAGAGCAGCCATGTCCGGGTGATCGGGGGTGGGACGCCGCACCCGGGCCTGCCTCCGCTTCCTGCGCCCACTCCGGGTGCTGAGTCTTCCCTGCGAACCGAGCACGGAGCTGAAGCCATCCATGGCTATGTGTTTATACAGCAGGCAGCTACAAGACACATACAAGACAAACTACAGGAACTGTATTTCCTGCAAAAATGCAGTGTGAATGCTTATTGCTGAAGATCTAGCTGAAAAAACAGCTGAAATTGTGGTAGCTAAAAATAAGCTGAAATGTAGCTGAAATGGAAGAACGAGCCTAAGTTAGCAGAAGAAAGCAGGAAGAACACATATTTGCTGAATTTACCTCCTAGGACCTGGCATCCACATATGCAATAGTCCGGGTCTTAGGAGGTTAAGTTTACATAAGCAGAAATGAGCACAAAAATAAGAAAATTAACTAAAAAGGCTGAAATTAAGAAAAAAAAAGCTGAAAAGTAGCTGAGAAGGCAGAAAGAATCTTAAACTACCAGAAGGAAGTGGGAAGAGCTGAATTGAGCTAAAAATGTGGAATAAGCTGAAAAATACTAAATTTAGCACAAACCAGATAAAAAGTAGCTGAAAGGAGCATAAGAAGCTTGAATTAGCATAAAGAAGTTAATTAAGCTGAAAGTAGCAGAAATTACTACTAAAAAACTTGACTTTATCTGAAAACATCTGAAATGAGCTAAAAATGCTTAAAAAAAGCAGTTGAAAAGTTAGAACAAGCTTAAACAAACAGAAGAAAGATGAAAGAACATGTTTACTGAAAGAAGCAGAAATTAGCACAAAAAAGTGGAAATTGTCCGAAAAAAGCTGAAATTCGCAAAAAAACTGCTGAAAAGTAGCTTCAAAAGCAGAAAGAAGCAGAAATTACAAGAAGGAAGTAAAGAGAGCACAAAAATGTTATAGTTAGCCTAAAGAAGCTGAAAGGAAAACAAAAAGCTGAAAAGAACTACTGAAATTAGCTGAAAGTAGCTGAAAAATATGTTTACATTTGCACAAGGAAGCTGAAAAAAGCTGAACCAGAACAAAATGTGAAAGGAGCAGTAAAAGGTTGTAAACACATCTAAATATTTGAAAGATGTAAAATGAGCTCATTTCATTTTCTATGAGAAAAAAAAAGTGGCAGAAAAGGCTAAATAATTCAAAAAGCTAAAGTTGCACCAATACCAAAAGTCATAGCAGGATTGTCCTGAAAGAGCTGAATGTTTTGATATGATTTGTTGAAGTAGCTTGAAAACTGTGGGATGAGAATCACGCCAAAAAACGTACAGAAGAAAAACGGATCACAATAGTGTGGATGCTTCATAAACATTCACACAACTAGATTATTATACTCTGCACACACAAAAAAAACACAAGGAACAAAGGCGAGTTCACATGAAGTGAGAAAAGACTTTACTTTTCGTGTGTGTTTGTAGTGTGCAGATATGTGCAGGGCTGAGTGATCTCTTCCTGCAGCAGAGACGCCTCGTAGTATTCCCGAGGAAGCAGCACCAAATAGTCCTGATGTGGGGAAAGTGACAAAGAATATCACATTCACACTTACAGTCACAAATTTACAACAAAATGAGACAATTCAGCATGAAACAGAAGAAGTCTAACTTGTGTGCATTCTTTTTTTTTAATAAATGTGAAGGGTTTTATTTATTTTTATTTTTATTGGTCCATTCCAGACGTCAAAACCATATCAACATGTCAAAAGCGTATCAACATTAACACTAATATGAACCTCTGTATTCAAACATACATATATATATACCTACACATACAAACACATACATACATCCACGTTTGAACATACAGAACCCCTTGTAAAATAAATTTATATCAGTAAATGCATCTGCTTTGACTGAGCGCACACAAACAAATAAATCTGTAAATACTTTTTTTTTCCTCAGGCAGGAAAAAAAAAAGTCTGATAGGAATTTTTTCGCCTCGTGTCCATTTTACCACTTTTTTGTCTGTCCAAACAGGTCTCACTTGTAAATGAGTCTTTTAGGCTCAATGTGATTTATCTGTTAAATAAAGGTTGAATGAATGAAAAAAATAAAATAAACAAGTGTGCACAGACCTATCTATGTATACATACCCATATACAGTACAGTACATGCACACATATAAATCCCATTTAACATGTCTGAAAAGGGGTAGGAAGAAGTAAAACTTATTTATTCCTACCCCTTCAATACTCCAAGGATTTTGTTTCTTATAAACTCACCAAGAGAACCCCCTGAGCCTGTATGTGAATGATCCATTTCCCAGGATTCAGTGCAAAAGGCTCGACAAAGCCCTCTCCTGGGACTGTGACGAAGGCCGGGGAGGGACTCGGAGGGAATATGACTTCTTTACTCTGCTCAGTCCCTGCAGGACAGCAAGTACAGAAAACTGGACTGTCATAAACGTGTAAAAAGACTCAAATCAACACTAAGACACTTAATGAGTGCAATTACATGTAAGGATGGGTTAGATTTGACAGTTTGATGGTAACCAGTAGCACTGTCAGAGGCAGCCTTACCTGCAGAGCCTCTGTTAGTGGTAGCCCTGATGATACCAGGCACACTGATGCTGCTGGGGTTAATGAACCGCAGAATCACACGGAACAAGTTCTGCCTTCCGGCGTTCGGCTCAACATGCACTGTTACTCTGACGTCACTCTGCAGGGATGACAGTTACACACCGACTGCATGGGTTGGCGTACATGATGGTGATGGGGTGACGTTAAGCGGAAGGATGGCGTTAGGGCGAGCAGAGAGCGGGTTACTGAATGGACAGGAAGTGAGGTGAAGATACAGTGAAAGCAAAGCAGGCCCTTCACTTACAGTCGCAGCAAGTTTCAGCTTCGTCCACCACCAAGATCCGTGCTCTCACTCGCGCTCCCCCCACATGTCGGGGTGCGGAGTAGCGCATCAGAATGTGGAAGGATCCAGGAAAGCGGAGGCTAAGCGTTAGAATCACCTCCGGCTGAAGACAGAGAGGGTTAGTTCTAGGAGCTGACTCCCACGTCAGCTGGGAAACAGGAGGCTGTGCGCTTCGTGGATGATTATTTGTGCAGAAGCAAAAGCAAAAAGATTTATTGTGGCATCAAAGCAGACTGAGAAAAGAAACCTGCAGCACCAGTGCAGTCACAGACAATCCATAAAATCGACGTTTTCAGGCCGCACCGGGATTCTCACATGAAAGGTGTTAATGTGAAAAGGCAAACCTGAGCAGGTGACATTATGGCATAACCTCTCCAGCTGAACTCTGGGAATTCTTGGGGGTTGAACCCAAAGCGTACTGGTCTGGCATTTGGCGTGGTGCCTTCCTCCGCCTCAAACTTCAGCTGGTGCAGCGTGGGGAAATAGTAGCCGGGTGCTGGCCTTAGCAGATAAATATGTGTTTAATTTAATAAATAAATTATGTAATTATTCTTCTTTTAAATCATGAGGAACCATATTACTCTGTGCATCTAGGACCGACGACATTCCTCCGACACTGACACTGTCCTGACGTGTCATCACATGCCGTGTCGATCGCACCTCCTACGTCACAGTGGCAGCCTGTCAGACAGAGCGAAGAGACAGAAACAAGGACTGAGGGCAACCTAACAGCAAAATGATCAACTGGCTGGATGACAGTTTCTTTAATTGGCCCAGTTTGTGATGAAAATTATGGAGTCAACAAAAAAACACTGCAATCATACTGTGTATAGGTCTTCAAAAAAATCTAAATATTAATGCTTAAAACAGTAACAATGTTTCCAATGCTATCATAATATATAACAGAGATTATTTTGTATGTGCTTTACACAGATTTACAGATAAACTAGTTTATTTCTAACTATTTTGCTCCATAATCAAACTAAATAAAAGGTTTATGTGCATTTTAAGTCAAACTACATTAAAAATATGTTAATTTAAAGTCTAGGCTGTCATATTAAATATTTCTGCCTCCTTATTAACTATATTTGATGCGTTTGTCAGCATATTGTTCATGCTTTTATAATAAGTTTGTGTGCACATATCTAAGACATGTACCGTATGTAATAATTAATGTTAGAGTGTAACTAATTTCTGCTGATTAGTCTCCTTCTTGATTATTCTCTTTAAATATTAGTGTAAATATTTTACAATGATGTCCACTAGGGCATTTTTCTTTACAGATGTGGCTGCAGGTGTTTTGGAATGTAATTTGCTGAGGCTTTTACTTTTGTGCTGATCTTCCTCATGTTTTTGTTGATTATATCTTGGGGGAATTTTTTTTTTTTTTAACGAGAAAGCTTGATGAAAACGCAAAGAAGAAATGTGACGGCAAAGAAAAGTGAAATTTATTTGTGAAATGTTGAAAAATAACCTTTTGAAACTGTGGACTCAATGTTTATTTGGGGAAAAGGGTTTATTTTTTAATAAAAACCTATACAATAATCTTTGTGGTTCGTTTATAAAAGCATATTGTGTACTTTTGATCTATTGTTTTTTCATTCTATATGTACATGTGGACAACCTGATGGTGTTGCCTAAGCAAGACTAGTTATTTAATAAACTGTTAAAACAAAAAGAGGAAGAAACACAAACTCTGGTTGTCTTAAAATGCTTAACTGCACTCTTCTTTTGTTTTATTGACAGTATTGACCTTAATTCTTGGTATTAAGACTGTAGTGAAGAAAACTGAGCTTCATTTTGAGAGTTGCAGCACAGATTTGTCTTCTTTCCTCTGATGAGGGATGCTCCAGTTCATCCTTCATCTACTAAAACAAATCATCTAATTCTTTATATCTGTTCAGTGCCCTGAGACGACTTCTGTTGTGACTTGGCGCTATATAAATACACTAAATTGAATATATTTAAGTAAACAAACCAGCTTTAATCCTGGCTACCTTTCAAACACTTTCACTCAGTTAGTGACACTGTGCACTCAATGCCTTTAGCTCATAATGTTGCCCTATCTGATATCAGCTCATCTTAAATGCCCTTTGAACTCCACTTACTGTCATGACTGACCTTTTGGCTTCTTCAGACACCCCAGTTGACAACAATGTAATGAATGATGTTTATTTAAATCAGATCCAATTTCATTTAAGCCTATTTAGGATTTAGGGAACAGGAGATCAGAAGCAGAAGCTTTTTTAGATGAGATGTTTTAATATGATCTGTGTAATATCACTAAAATTAGAAACATCTTGTCCAGAAATGATGCAGAAAAACTGGTCCATGCATTTATCACACATAGACTGGACTATTGCAATTGTTTATTCCCTGGGTGTCCAAAAATTTCTTTAAAAAGTCTTCAGTTGATTCAAAATGCTGCTGCCCGAGTTTTAATGAGAGTTAGTAGGACATATCATATCTCTCCAGTTTTAAGTCCAGAATTGAATTCAAAATTTTACTTCTAATCTACAAAGCTCTCAACAACCTAGCTCCATCTTATGTTTGTAGGAGTTGTGGTTTTGTCCCTGGTGTTGTGTTTATGTCTGTGTTCCCCCTGATCCTCTGTTTCTCTTTATAGTGTTTGGGTTTCTCTAGTATCTAGCCTCATCTTGTGTCGTGTTCATGTCCTGCATCCTCTTTCTCCTCTGACATCTGTGATTACTCACAAGTGTTATCACTTGGTCTAATTGGTGTTTCCTGTATATAAGTTTGTGTCTCTGTGTTAGTCCTTGTCCTGGCATTATCTGTCCACTGGTGATGTCCTGTGTACTCCCTGTGTACCCCCCTGTGTACTCCCTGTGTACCCCCTGTGTACCCCTGGATTGCTTATGTGAGTTTTTGCTGCCCTGTCAGCCTTTTCTGTTATTTATTGTAAATAAATTTATTTATTTAATTGTTTAACCTGAATCCTAGATTGCCAGCCTGCACCACTGGGTTCACCAGCAGCAGCCATCATTGTGACAATATTACAGATCGTATTGTTCCATATTTTCCTAATAGAGCACATCACTCTCAGACTGCAGGATTAAGTGTGGTTCATAGAGTTTTCAAAAGCAGAATGGGAGGAAGATCTTTCAGTTATCGGGATCCTCTCTTGTGGAACCAACTTCCAGTTTCTGTCCGTTAGGCTGACACATTGTCCAGCTTTAAGACTGGGCTTAAGACTTTCCTTTTCGATAAATCCTATAGTTAGAGTTGGCTTGGATTTCCTGAGCTATCCCTTAGTTATACTGATATAAACTTAAACTGCTGGAGGATAAATTGACCACATTTCCTCACTCTGCTACTGACTTTATTTGCTCTACTCCATTTGTTTGTATTTGTAATTATTTCTATCCTTGACATGTTTTTTTCTTGTCTTTCTTCCAATAGAAAGTTCACCTGGAACTGTCGTTCTGTGTTTGTTTCTCCTTCCTGTCCTCTCAAACCCCAGCAAGTTGAAGCAGATGGTCGCTTGTCCTGAGCTTGGTTCTGCTGGAGGTTTCTTCTTAAAATAGTTTTTTCCTTTCCACTGTTGCCTTTGTGCTTGCTCAGGATGGGAGACTGTGATGAAGTGAAGGTTCACCACAATCTGCTGCTTCCTTAGGTACGTAAATTTTACTAAGTGGCTTTTTTTAAAGTACAAGTTATATGAATGTTTTTGTACAGTGCCCTGAGATGATTTCTGCTGTGACTGGTACTATATAGATAAACTGAACTGAATTTAAACATCCTCCTTCGCAGTTTCTGCCGTTTTACTTCCATTTGTATCCACACTTACATGCTGTTAAAGAAACTCTTACCTTGGCAACCAAAATAGTTCTTTTTTTGCAGGAGAAAATAGCCGTCCTTGCAGGAGTCACATGTAAGGCCGCAGGCATTCGGCTTACAGTGGCACTGTCCACTTCTCTGAGGGAGCAGATCGACGAGCAAAAAGACACTTTTAACAAACTTTAAGCAATTCTTTTTAAACTTTACATCAACACAACACAATGTAATCAGAGATAAATGTGTGGGTGGGTGCAAATGAGAATCCTCACCTGTTCACATTCTCCAACGCCACTCAGAGTCCCTTTCAGTTCACACTGACACTCTGGATGAGAAGACAGACAGGGAGGGGGATGGGTTATGAGACTGAGACGGGGACATGCAGTAGACTCTGATTACAGGCTTGTGTAACATTCACAGGTGAAACCCAACAACACAAAACCCTTCAATGTTCAAGGATCCGCACATCAAAGGTCCACAAGCACAGATTACTGCGCAGGAAAAAAAAACCTTTCCCTGAATATCCGGTCTCAGTAAACCTGAGGCATTCTTCAGATATTAAAAAGGCTTCTTGTGTCTTCAGGCAGATAAGAATCTTGCAAGAGAGAAGGGCTGTAGCAAAACACTGGAGAAAGCTTGACGATAAATAGTAAAAAGCAAGCTTCTTTTTTCAATAGAAGCTCATTTTATGTGATTAAAATAAACATTGTGTGTTTTCTGGTTGAAATGAGGACAAATAAGGTGCAATTTTAATGTTTAAATGGATACAGAATGAAATCTCACACTTATAGTTGAGAAATCTACCAGGAATTATTCTCCTGCTCCCCCCCCTGAGGGAAGGAAAGCCGAGCCTGTTGACGGGGTATGTTGACACATTCTTGGGTAAAAGGTTTGATATCAGAGCCTTGTCAGACTGCTTCTGGCAACGTGACAATCTGCTTAAAAATGGGGTAAGAAATAATCCTGTTGGAGGAGAAATGGGACCTATGTTGCAAACACTGAACCAACCAAACAGTTTTTGTTAACTCAGCGTTTTGTTGCAATGTTACACCCATATTCTTTATTTTTTCCCTTTCTTTTTTTATTTCTGGTGACCCACCCACGCAGCCTTGAGGATCGTCTCCAGCGAGGTTCCAGTAAAGAGGTTTACACCTGTCGCACAGCGGTCCTTCGACGTTTGGTCGGCAGCGGCAGAAACCCTGAAACAACAGATAAGACTATCTAAGAACTGTTGAGACTGGAAGCTCCTGGTGGAAAACGATTACATCTGTTCACCATCAGAGCCTGCATATCGTATGACAGAGCAGACACTTCAGGCTGCGAACTGACACTTTTATTTAATTCTTTTACAAACAAAGTGCGAGTTAAATGCAGACGCACCTAAATAGGTGAGCGCAGGCGAGTGTCAGGACCTGTGCTTTTGTTGATTTGTTTGTAACTTTTTGTGTTTCGTGGTTTGTTTTTAGTGATTTATGGGTCTTGTTTACTTGTGTTTTCCTTTTCCCTGTGTTTTTTTTTTTTTTGTTGTTGCCACCATTCACTCTCCCTCAGCTTTATCCTCCTCAGCGTTTTCCTCACTCGGTCTTGCCACGCCCACTTACCCCTGCGCCCTGTTCTCCAAGCTCAGCTGCAGCCACTCTCCTCATTATTCTCACTCCATTTATTCTCTCTGGTTTTTTGCACTCAGTGGTGCATTGTCAGTAGAGATGTCATTTCTAACCTGGGCCCGTGAACAAAATAATGTGCAGGATGGGTGAGCCGGGTCGATGTCGCGCTTTTGATTGTGTCAGCGGATGCGCATGGCTGACGATCCAATTTGGATCACCAGCCGCGCGCGGCCTTTTGACCGCGCGCTGACCGGTTGGTTGAAAGAGGAAAAAAACAAAGTCCAGATGGCTCACTGCCAGTGACCCACCTGAAGGTTAACTGGACTCAGCCGCTGCGTCAGTGGATGTGCACAGCCAACGACCCAATTTGGATCAACAGCCGCGCGCATCCACCAACCGTTAATAACTATAATATTATAATAACCATAACAACCCACTGACTCTTGTTAATAAACAAGAGATCTTATATCTTCCTTTCTTTGAAATACATTTTTAAATCATGTCAAACTTACAAAAGCAGTAAAAGATTAATTTAAAAAATGTCTGGGTATTTTCGGGTTCGGGGCTGTAATTACAGTTTTCGGGTCGGGCTTGGAAAAAATTTAACGGATTCGGGCCGGGTCAGCTTTTTTTTGGCCCGAATGCAACTCTAATTGTCGGGTCCTTGAGTTTTATAGGTTTGCTGCCACAACAGTGTTTTACAGATACTGAGCTAAACCTTGATGTGGTAGTAGCTGAGAGTCACATCCAGCATATAGTTTAATGTATGGGTTAAACTCAAGGCCCGGGGGCCAAATATGGCTCTTGTTAACATCTTATCTGGCCTCCAACATGATGTTTTAAAAGTAAAATACTTTTATCGCTTCACATGTTACTTTAAAACACTTTATTCAGTGCAGACTTCTCATCAGTTTTTTCAATTCTGAGGCCAAAAAAAACATGAAAATGTCAACTGAGACCGATGATGCTCTGCAACCAAGAAAAGGTGTCAGGTATTTGATTGGAAAATGGTCTTGGTCTGAAATAAGTTTTTAATTTTGGCCCCTTTTTGTAACTGAGTTTAACATCCCTGCTCCAATGTCTAAAATATCATGCATCATATGAGACTGTCTATGATGTTATTTTCACGATTTAACAAAACTGTCTTGAACTTGTTTCTTAAGATGATTTTGGTCTAAAACTCTGTCATGAAACGCGGCGGGCGATATGCATTCCTTCAAGGAATGCTAGGCCTTTGTTTGCTTCATGTGATAGTTGTTTCTTCCTCTTCAAAATGGAAGGAAGTCTCTCTTTCCTTTTTTAATTACCTTCGAATCTGATGGTGAAAAGCACTTCCTTGTTTTATGATTCAATAATCCGACCAAAGTTCAGCTGCGTTATCAGCCGTATAGTCCAAGTGAACCCACGCCCAGATTGGGCTGGAACGACTTCTTGTTCTCAAGGCTAACAGAAACTTGAAAGAGACGCAGCTCCGACAAGCAAAAAGTAAAGTCTGCTGTGATTTTCTTACCGTTTGAGGATCAGACACATCTGTTCCTGCTGGGTTACACACACTGATGGAGGCTGAAAATAAATACACAACAAAAGAATGTTAATAAAAAAAACATTTAAGGAAGATCTGGCAAAGACAACAGCTTTAAATGAAGAAAGTAGTTTATTTTTTCTTTGGATTTGTTTGAATATTACTAAGACTCATCAATAATTCTGAGTTAAATATGGACTGATTGTGCACATGATGGTTCTAACGGGTCTTACCTGAACACTGGGGGAACCTGAGCCCAGAGGCACAGCGGTCACACTGCTGACCCACCACACCCGGTAAACACAGGCACTGACCCGATAACGGATTGCATGTTGTTCCATACGAGCCTTCGTGTGAACACAGGCAGGCTAGGGAGAAAAAATAAAGCAGAATTTATACGTCTGATATTATTTTGAGTCATATAAAAGCAAAAGTTATTCATGATCATACTGTTTATTTTAAGAATCTAATTTTTTTCAGTGATTCCCAGATGTTTATTCTTAGGAAGCCCATATATCCACTTCTCTCCATCTGCATCACTGCTAAAAAAAATAGTGCAAATGGCAAAGAAGATTTTTTTCAGGACCCTGTGAGAGTGAAGATTTTATGCTCCCGTGCCATGAGAAAAGGTCAAAGTAAATGCACAGAAACTAAAAGCATCTTTTTTTCCCCTTATAAGGATTAAAATCTTAAAGTTTTGGGGTAGAAAAATTAATGATTGGATTTTGTTTTAATATATATAGAATTTAATTCAAGGAAGTTTTCTAATTACACAGAAAAGTGCAGAATAGCTTTAAAACAGCTCTTTGAAGGGAAGGAAGGGAGAGTGATTTGCATGTGAGTTTAGCTCAGATAAACAGCACAGCTCACTGTAGTTTTAAATCCTGAATCTCAAACTTTTCAGTTTGAATTTAAAAGGAAAAAAACTCCAAGGATGTACCATGTACTCCAAAAAATGTCAAGTTTGGGGTTTTGAGATTACTTCCAGAAACAAAATCCTAATAATAATGTTTGTAACTGTAATAACGGTGGCTGTCGTCATTGCTCTCTCATTTAAATGCATTAATTGCAACATCTGTGAACTTTAGCCAGAGAAGTTACTGTCGTTGTTCTGTGAGTCGGAAGCTGAAGAGTTTGGGAAACGCTGATCCGGACCGATAGAGATAAAGAAAAACATTCACCGGCACAGTCTGGATATCCGTAGTAACCCGGTGCACACTGGTCACACTCCTGTCCCACGAAGTTGTGGAGGCAAAGACACTGACCGTACGGATCGCACACACCTTCAGCCACACCGGCTCCATCACAGCGACACACTGAGCAGAAACCAACGAGTTAAAAAAGATTCAAACTGGGCCAGTCAAATCATTACAATCATTTTAACTTTACCTAAGCTTAAAAAGAAAAGTCGGCATTAGTTTTTACTTTAAACCTACACAAAATAATGCTTTGTTGCACAAAAGTATTCAAGATTTTGAAAACTTTTGCAGGGAAACTCAATTTAACGAAGAAAATACCTCTGAGGTCAAACAGGAAGAATGTTGAAAATAACATTTTAGCTCCAATTATTCAGTTTAAAATGTCTATTGAGCATCTGTTTAGTTCTGTGTTTTAAGAAAATACTTTAAAACAGGAAAAAAAAATTAAAATTATTCAGTTCTGATTACAAAAAGCAAAAACATCAAAACACTTTTAATGATTTATAGAAAAAAAAGCACATTTAATGCTGCATACTCTCTTTTTAAAGTTTACATTTATAAGGCACAAACCAACTCAAGACTCTTTCGACCTGAAGCGGCACATGTGAGTTTGACTTTTAAGCTTTAGAAATGCAGCATATTCAACAAATATTCACTAATGAATATGTCTAAAACATAATGTGATTACTAACTTTAAATAAAAACAGAAAGTCTGCATGTCAAATAATTTTTGCTTCATATTTCTACGTTTTTCAGAAGTTGAAAAACTTTAAATTTGAGCTAAAACATAATAAACATTAAAAAAATAAAAATAACTGTGAACTAAAATACTTATTAACAAATAGTTTCAAGTTTTAAGGTTCTAACTTTTAAATGGCTTCTTAAAACACCAAAGTTCATGCTCAATAATCCAGGTAGAAAGCCATCAATGTTCAGTCAGGTCATATGGATGGTTTCTTTTTTTTTTTGCTGAGACTTTTCGTCCTTCATCCAAAGGACTTCTTCAATCAGAGGAGCCACCAAAACAAACTGATTCCCACAAACAGCATGCCCCATAGTGGATAAAAACAGTTTGCTGGTGCTAAGATGTCATCCAGGGTTCGCCCTTTCCCCTGTCAACTCCTTTGAGACAGTCCTGTCAAAGTGGTTCAAAACACCAAAGTTCATGCTCAATAATCCAGGTAGAAAATCCAACAATGTTCAATCATGTCATCTGGACAGTTTCTTCTTTTTTTTTTGCTGAGACGTTTTGTCAGAGTCAGAGATTCTTTATTGTTGTTCGCACCGCATGTGGTACATGTGGTGGAGTGAAATTATGTACACAGGGTCCCAGTTACATCCAACAATAAAATGTAAACAAAAACAATGATAACATCTAAGATATGAACTAAGAAAAACTTTAAAAAAAATAAATAAAACTGTTTTGTCCTTCATCCAAAGGACTTATTCAGTCTGAGGAGCCAACACACTCCAATATGGAGTGTGCTGTTTGTGGGAATCAGTTTGTTTTGGTGGCTTCTCAGACTGAAGAAGTCCTTTGGATGAAGGATGAAACATCTCAGAAAAAAAATAGAAAGAAATTGTACGATGACCTCCATCCATCCATTTTCTTTACCCGTTTATTCCATTGTGGTTCACGGGGGTCGCCGGTGCCCATGTCCAGCAATCACTGTGCGAGGGGCGGGGTACACCCTGGACGGGTCTCCAGTCCATCACAGGGACACATAGAGACAAATGAGACAAACAACCATTCACTCTCTCACTCACACCTAGGGACAATTTAGAGTTATCAATCAGCATAACATGCATGTTTTGGGTCTGTGGGAGGAAACTGGAGCACCCGGAGAAAACCCACGCATGCACGGAGAGAACATGCAAACTTCCCCCTAGAAAGGCCCCTGGACCAGGATTTGAACCAGGGACCTGCTCGCTAAGAGGCAGCAACTCTACCAGTTGCGCCACTGTGCTGCGTACAGATGACCTGATAGAACATTGTAGACTTTCTACCTGGAATATTGAGCATGAACTTTTGTGTTTTGAACCAGTTTGGCATGACTGTCTCAGAGGAGTTGACGGGGGAGAGGGCGGGCCCCAGAGGCCATCTTAGCACCAGCAAACTGTTTTTTTTCCACTATGGAGTATGCTGTTTGTGGGAATCAATTTGTTTTGGTGGCTCCTCAGAGTGAAGTTCTTTGGATGAAGGACGAAACTTCTCAGCAAAAGAAAGAAACGGTCCAGATGACCTGAGTGAACTTTGTTGCTTCTTGAAGTATAACAAAGTTCATGCTCATCCAAATACTGAAAACGTACGTATTTCTGCTTCTGTAGACATCTTGTAAAAATAAATGATTAACCCAGCTGTTCAACTTCACTAAACCTTTAATGAGAAACTGCAACTAATCTAAAACCTCGCTGGTCACACTGCCATGTAAAAACAGAGCTAGGTTTACTTTGATTGTTGTGAAATCTAAAGTTTTGTATTATATTCGTATGAACAAGTCCTCGTGCTTCTCTTCTCTCACCGTGGCAGATCGGGAAGGAGTGGTACCCTGGTCGGCATCGGTCGCATCGCCTCCCCTCCACTTCCTGACGGCACAGGCAGCGCCCGAACGCATCACATGAGCTGTACGGCATCCCTCTGTAGTCACAATCACACGCTGCACACAAACACAATGCAAATACTGTATTTATCCTCATTACAGAAACAAACCATTAAATACATGAAATTATTATGTTTATGTTACTCAACTAAACAACAAATCTGTTAGTTGAAATTGGAAAATGCATTTTCTTCCGAAATAAATGAATTCCAGCTGAGCTAGGCTCACGTTGTGGCCCTCAGTGGTTCAGATTGGACTTGCAGAGCCTCGCCTGGTGTTGGTATGTGAACAGACTTGACACCAAGACTGAGTCATCCCCAGAGAGTCTGCCACAGTAAAGCAGCTCCACTGAGCTAAAATCAGCTTTTCAAGGGTTTATGATGAACATGTATCTTAAAGGATGAACCAAAGTTGTTTATTTTCAGTGAATATAGAGGATGCAAACAGCAGAGGACATCACTGGTAGCAGTCTCCACAACATCCAGGACATCTACCACAGCTGATGTCTGCGTAAAGCACGCATCATCATTAAGGACCATACCCACCCAGCACAAGAACTCTTCCATCTACTACCCTCAGGCAGACGATACAGGAGTGTGCCATCGTGTAAATAAAGACTAAAAGACAGGTATTACCCACAAGCTGTCAGATTACTGAATTCTTGATAATAATACTGAACAATTAACAATACCATTGCACTAAGCCACATCTGACAGCTAATATGTTTATTGCTGCTGCACTATGTGGCTGTATCGTGTATGTCACTACCTTACTATCATAATTCAATTAATCTCAATGTTGTTCACAACCTGTGCAATAACCTGTCACACAACTTGTGCAGTACTTGTTATGTGCGTTATATATCATGTGCATTTAAGCAAATATTACCTTGAAATACTTAATTTATACAAATTCATCCTACTTGCACTGTTATATTCTAACATGTTGTCATTTAATATATTTCTTTTGGACATTGTAAATACTATATTTCTTTTTCACTTTTTGTTACTTTATTTTGTACCCTTATTGCATGCTTTAGTACCTCTTGTTTGTTTGTTTTTAGCGAGTTGAACCCGGAACATTTCATTGCATTGTTGACCTTGTGTTAACCTGCATATGACAACAACATAATACAGTGGTCACTCGTTTATCGCGGGGGATCCATACCCTGAAGACCCGCAATAAGTGAAAAATCACTAAGTAGGAATAGTAGTACAAGTAGTAAGTAGTAGTTTATTTTATTATAAATAAATATATACATATACATATACATATATATATATATATATATATATACATAGGCATTTTAAACCCTTCCCACACTAAGATTCATAACTGGCTGTGATTATCGTACCCATCACTGCACCCTGTATTCACTGGTTAACTGGACATCAATAACTTCATGCAGACTTTCTCACTGGTACATTTTCATCTTTAAATCACTTCTTGGTCTGCTGCCTGCATACATCTCCTCCTACATGTCCCTGCGTGAGTGCAGCTACAGCGTGCGCTCTCAGGACATTATTACCTGCAGTGTTCCCTCAGTGCGGACTGAACTAGGCAAAAGGGCCTTCTCCTACTCCGCTCCTGTTTCCTGGAATATCTTACAAAAAGATTTGAAGCTCTCGACCTTGACCTCTCTAAGTGGCTTTAAGAATCTGTTGGACTCCTGGCAAGGACCAATGCTGACATGTTCCTGTTTTTAGTTTTCTACATTCACCTTATAATCTAGCTAGGTTTTTTTTTTTTTTTTTGGGGGGGGGGGGGGGGGGGGTTGCCATCTTATTTGTATTTAAAAAAATCTGTATGCCTTTTTATAACTGTCTATTGCTGTCACTGTTGTCCGTTGTTGTCATCATTCTTTGTTGAAACCAGGTATCTCTTGTAAATGAGTCCTCGAGGCTCAATGGGATTTACCTGTCTAAATAAAGGTTGAATGAAAAAAAACCACTCTTGCAATATTCTACACAGTGTTTCCAAACTCTCTAAAAGAGCACAGCATGTCATGATTTCAGTTCCCTGCCTCCTCTGCTCTTTGCCACCTGCAAGTGCTCGTGGCCACGCCCACTTCTCCACTCTTCACGGTGACCAGTTGATCAGCTGCAGCAGGAAGTTTATCCTGCAGTAAGGGCTGCACAAAAGTGCAGGAGGAAGCTTTTTCTGCAGCTCTGGGTTGCACAAATATGCAGCAGATGCTTTATTTTAAATAAAAATTCCATGCCGATCGTGCGGTTCATCTATCAATCAGCCAATTGTTTGTCATGTCCAATCTTATTTTGAAAAACCACAACAGAGCGAGTCCATGATAAACGAACTGCAAAGTAGCGAGGGACTACTGTATTAAGATTATAGAAAAAGACAAGGGGTTAAAGGTCTTGGGTTTTTTTTTTTTTTTAAAGCAGCCATATTAGACAAAAGCAAACCAGACGAAGCGCTTCAGAACTAATATTAGTCGGGTTACTTCTCCCTGAATGGCGGCTGCTACCAGGAGACCACTTGAAGAGGGTAAATCCCCTCTGATGGACCACATCTTTACTTGTTGTTATGCTTAACAACTGTATGTTATCTGCCATACATTCTCGTGTATGCCAGTATTCTCACCATCCCATCAAACCCAAACACAACAGAGAACGGGCTTCAAATGGCCTTCGAACATGACCTCACACATTTATACTTTAAGCCTCCAGGCGACTGAACTCCAGCACATGTTCTTCACCGAAAAGCAAACTCAGACTCAGCGGTACCAAGCGTGATCCTCCACAGTCAGCTTTAACAGCCTCCACGTTGACGTGACTTATAGTCTAATAAAATAAGAACTTTTTATTGAGTTGCGTCTTCATTAACACAAGAAATGTAAATGAAGAAGTTTTAAAAGCAGCACAACCGTAAAAAAAAAAATCTCTTCATCTCAGGTCTAAGCGTACTCACGCTGACAGCTGGGAGGGTTGAAATAGCCTGACGGGCAGGGAGTGGGTTCTGCACCATGAGAGGGAAAAGAGAAATACTTTACATGACAACCAGAATTGTGTTGTGTCAAGCTACACAACTCTGCTCACTGAACTTACCCACTATAGGACCTGCAGAAGATTTGGTGGTTGTCGGGTACACGGGGTATTCTGAAAGCAAATAAACGAATTAAGATCTCCAGTTATTGAAGGGCTTGATTTCATAAAACATCACATGACAACTTTAATTATGTCAGGGGAGAATTATGCTTAAAAAAGTTCTATTTAATTTACAAAAAGTAAAAAATGCACCCAAACTTTATTTACATTTTTTGAGAAATTTCCTTCCTCATAGATGTAAGTAATAGATAGAAAATGTCTGAAGTGCACATAAAAACATTTCATTTGAACTGTTTATGTAAACGCTAGCATAACTCAGTAGCTATATAATGAGTGAAATAGCCACCAGTAGAGCAACTAAAATATAATAAAATAAAATATTAAAAGGAAATAAAAATACCTAACAAATTGGAAGACAAGCAGTTATCAAGTAAATTGTGTCACAAACTTGGTATTTATAAAAATATATCAATGTTCATGCTCAATAATCCAGGTAGAAAATCCAACAAAGTTCAGTCAGGTCGTCTGGACGGTTTCTTTTTTGTTGTTGTTGTTGTTGTTGAGACGTTTCGTCCTTCATCCAAAGGACTTCATCAGTCCGAGGAGCCACAACAAACTGAGTTCCACAAGCAGTAAACCCCCATAGTGGACCAACCAGTTTGCTGGTGATAGGGTGGATTCTGGGGCTCGCCCTCTCCCCCATCGACTCCTCTGAGACAGCCATAGTCAAAGTGGTTCAAAACATCAAAGTTCATGCTCAATAATCCATGTAGAAAATCCAACAAAGTTCAGTCAGGTCATCTGAATGTTTTTTGTTTTGTTTTTTTTAGGCAATTCGTCCTTCATCCAAAGGACTTCATCAGTCCGAGGAGCCACAATAAACCTATGTGGATTTGCTGCTTGTGGAAATTAGTTTGTTGTGGCTCCTCGTACTGAAGAAGTCCTTTGGATGAAGGACGAAACGTCTCAACAATAACAAAAAAAAGAAACTGTCCAGATGACCTGATTGAACTTTGTAGGATATAAAAATATAATTTAGATCTGGTGGAGTGGGTATTGTGAACACTTAAAGGGATAGTCTGTTGATTTTTGTGTTGATGTTCTGTCAACTAGTTAATAGTGCCTTGTTAGATGTGACATCAGAGTAAGGAAAAAAAGGGCAAAAGTCTTTATCCTGGCTAAGCTAACGGCTAATTAAACTAGGGCCCATTTAAAAAACAAGATTTTTTTCTGAAACAACAGTAGTATGGGAAAAATTTAGATTAGATTAGCTCATATTAAACCTCAACACTTTTGTATGACACAGTTTGCTTACAAAATAAAGTTCAAGTTACCTCGCCAACGTTTGTGTGCTGAGAATAGACCGTTAGGTGCTGATGGTGTGGAGGCTGTGGGTGTACGAGTCCGCTGAGAGTTGAGTAAACATTTGACTCCAACCCTGTTCAGGCGAACTGATGCACTCAGCAGCCTCACCAACAACATGATAAACTTTATCAACACATCACACATACACTTGTGAAGTAACACGGAGAAAACCACAAACAACTGCTGTTAGACAAAAGTGTAGAGGTTTGGCAATAGCTAACGTAGCTTCCTTTCACACCTGATTGACATTTTTAGGAAAGAGTTGTTTAATAAGCCAGAAAAATGAAATAAAATGAGCCCATTTCTTGAAATTTAAGTCGCTCAAGTCGCTATCTACAACAGGTAAGATATTAACTGTTCATAACCTCTTCGCAGAAGCCAACTGTGAAAGATTTGAATGACTGCTTTCCTTTCTGTTTATCTAAGCTAATCTATATTACATCAGACATTTCCTGCAGTGACAGAAAACAGAAAAGTCTGTTGAATCCCAGACATCCACCTAATGACTCAACATGTTAGGTCTGGTTTCTCAGTGCTAACTGACTTAAGATATGAAGACTGCTTAATCTCACACAGTAATACATCTTTTACCCATAAATGACAATTAAATTGAAGTCAAGTCAAGTCAAGTCATATTTATTTATAGAGCACAATTTAAAACAGATAGACTGTTATCAAAGTGCTTAACACTAAGGGTAACACTAAGAAATAAAAAGCAGTAAGAATATACCTTAAAAAATTAAAACAACAGCATTAAAATGAAGACATGGAACAAGATATACTAAATCAACTCACACAGTATGAAACGCCAGAGAGAACAGATATGTTTTTAGCAGGGATTTGAGCACAGGAAGGGAGGTGGCATGCCTAATGTTGGGGGGTAGGTTGTTCCACAGTTTGGGACCCATGACTGAAAACGCCCGATCTCCTCGGAGCTTCAGTCGTGTTTTTGGAACAACCAAAAGCAGCTGATCGGATGATCTCAGAGCCCGAGAGGGAACATATGGTTCCAGTAGCTCAGAGAGGTAGATGGGTGCGAGGCCATTTAGGCACTTATAGGTCAGGAGGAGAATTTTGAAATCAATCCTAGTTCTCACAGGAAGCCAGTGTAGGGAGGACAGAACTGGTGTGATGTGCTCATACCTCGGTGTACCGGTTAAGAGCCTAGCTGCAGCATTCTGGACGAGCTGTAGACGTGAGATAGAAGCCTGGCTGACCCCAGCATACAGTGAATTACAATAGTCCAGGCGGGTTGTGATGAATGCATGGACTAGTGTCTCAAGGTCGGGTCTAGACAGCACTGGCTTGAGCTTAGCTACCTGCCGCAGTTGGAAGAAGCTTCTCTGCAGAACCAAACTGATCTGTTTGTCGAACTTAAAATCTGAGTCAAAAACCACTCCAAGGTTTTTAACAGAGTGCTTCAGATAAGGCTGAAGGGAGTCCAGGTTCACAGGATAAGAGGCGGCAGCTGAGCTAGGGCTAAAGACAATGACTTCAGTCTTCTGGTCGTTAAAACTTAGAAAATTTGAAGCCATCCATGTCTTAATGTCGTCCAGACATTTGAGGAGAGGGTGGACGGAACAAGCACTGGCTGGTTTCAGTGGCAGGTAGATCTGACAGTCATCGGCGTAGCAATGGAATGGAATACCATGTTTTCTTAGGATCGACCCCAGCGGAAGCAGATAGAGCGAAAATAGAAGAGGTCCGAGAATGTGAAGTTGATGATATGGGTTGCAATAGACCCCAGGCAGATGTGAAAACTACTTGTCTGCTCAGCTCTGGGTGTTTACTGACTTCTTTGTTTTAATTAGAGCATTAGAAAAATGTGATAAGCTAATATTGATTCAAGTTTAAAACTTAGATGACAAAAATGCTAAAGTGTATGCCAGTCAGTGAGAAGCCTCAGATGAAACATCAAATGTGACTGTAAGAGTGTTGCTTATCTCCACGCCTCTGCAGGCTGCTGAATCCTTGCCAAAGCGTATCGGCTCGACAATGTGGGGAAATGTTCTTTGTGTGTCAAATTTCATTTGTTTATGTGAAGCGACGGCACGGGGAATGCGCAATAAATCAAGATCAAATTTTTAGTAAAGTATGTGCATGCGACTCTCCATATGTCGCCCTACAGCAACAAAACCATGCTTTTTATTAATATTGGTTATCTGGGAGGAGTGAAAACTGGCTGGTAATGAAAGTTTGGTGAAACTCTCAACACGAGTCCCACAAAGCCTCATGTCTTAGTGGATTCATGAAACGTTTATAGGAAGCAGTTTTAACATTTTGGCAAAAGTGAACTTACGAATGCACAGCGGGAAGTGATAGTGTCCATCAGCACAGCGGTCACAGTTTTCTCCAGAATATTGTGGCTTGCAAAGGCATCTTCCTGAACCCATTTCACAGCGAGCTGTAGTCCTTTCATCACAGCTGCAGGCTAAAAGGATAATTGTATGAATTATTAATGAACAGTTAGATCATTTAATTAGGAGCCTCTGGCATAAGAATATAAAGACTGACAGTAAACCCAGCTCAAATGCATAGCAGCTAAAAATCAAAGTGGGGTTTTATTGCAAGATAGAACGTCTTAAAATGATGACATTATGACTTACTTGCCTCTTTTATTTCCTGCTAATGTGATGTAATTGTGTTTCTGAATGGGGATGGTTTACCTTTCAAAGTGTTCAGGGCAAGCCATTTAATTCCACTACTTTGTAATGTCCAAACACAACTGTTAGCTATTTATACCACAAAGAGCAGCTAGAGGATCTGAGTAAGGTAAACAGTAGTAAAGCTCGGTTCAGAGGGAGTACAGCGGCGGTGCCACTTGTGCCGGTCTGAAACAACGAGCCAGTCTATTTCAGCGTCGCTGCTTACACAGACCGCAGGTCAAATGCCTCGATGGTGCGACCTGGTCAACGCTACAACAGTCACACGTTTACATTGTGATAATATGAAGTGCTAAATTACACACTGCATCGTTGGAAACACACAAAAACTGTTAATTAATGGTGTTATCATATGAAGCCAATAAACACTAAACTTTAGCTCTTCAGTCTAGATGACTCCACTCAAAAATAAAGTTGATCACGTTGCTCAGCTAAATACTTTTTTTCATATATAGACACCATAACATAAACCTTTTCCCTGTTCATGAAAAGTTGTGTTTTTGGTTTTGCATTTTAAATGATGCTCTTATGTTGTGCATGTCCGCGCTGCAGATGAGACAAAATGACACAAGAAAGAAGATTTCCGAGCAAAAAGTCCGAGTTCAAGTCCATTATTTGCTCGACCTGTAGTTTGTGACACCACAACAACATTTATCAGCACGTCTGCTACAAGTTCCCACACATGCTGGGTCACCTTCTGTTGAGTAGAAGAAAGCAGACTGCAGCACTCAAACACAAACTACCTAACCCAGTTCGCTTCCAGAAAACAGAGGAATAAAAATATAAATGTGACGTTTTACTCAGGCACTTCCCATTCAGACTCCTGTTGAACAAAGTTTCCAATGTGAATATGAGAAATTTATTTTTGCCCCTAAAACTGGGTATTTTCACTGAAATAAGGTGACAAGAAAAATATTTCACTCACGTATGCATCCAGAGGGAGACTCAGGCCGTAGTCCATGAGGTCGGTAGAAGCCTTCTCTGCATCGTTCACAGTTTATTCCAGCAGTGTTGTGCTAAAATACAACATAAAATGTCACGTTTGACTAACATATCTGAACTAAGAGCGGACGCATGTCTCTGCAGTCTTTTGTTTAATTTTTCTCATGAAAAAAAAAACGAATGCACAACTTGGATTTTAAACAGAAACTGATGACTGTTAATCTGCTGTTTGAAATCAAGAAGAAATGGAAAGAAACTATTATACAGGTTCAAAAATATGCTGTTATTTTAGACCCGAAGTATCTCATAATATGCCAAGATCAAGTTATCATGAATGACTGCAGCTGGTCTGTGCCAACATAAAAACAGGCTTTGTTTGGCAGCGCTCGGTGGATTAACCAACATACATGAGATAAACTAGGCCAAGGAGTTCTTTGCAGATCTCAAAGAGGTTTGTAAGCTCAACAAAACTCTTAAAAGTCTCTTGTATCCTCTTCTTCAATACAAACTCAACTGTTTTTTAGTGAGTTGTAAAAATTACTTCTAGATGTAGCCGTTTGATACCACAACAATATCCTGTGGGATCAATGAAGTTCTATCTTATCTTATCTTCTTAGATTATCTTAATATAGAAAGAACTGGGCTCTGACGACAAGACCAACACAACACCACATGAGGTATTTGACTCATCAACTGCTGAGCATGGTGGAGGTAGCATCATGCTCAGGGTCAGTTAAGTTTAATAATTAAGATGGAACAACTCTGAATGTTCAGAATGCTTTTCAATGAACAGCTGAACGTTGGAGCACAACGTGATGCTTCAACAATAAAATGACTCCATATTCACCTCAGACCAGATTGTTGTATTAGCTTCTGTAATGAACGGTGTTTCCTGACTTCACCTGGTTTATATTCGTGCCAAAAATTCAGCTTTATGGCAGAAATCCAACAAATGTCACTGTACCAGTTGTTGATGAACTAAAAAGTCTGGATAGTGTAAAACTCATTGACAGCACTGCATTCTGTTTGTTATTTTACAACAAATTATTTTTATTTTACCGCCATGTGTTCAGAATACCAATAAAGTTCATTTTTAATGACAACACTCCTTTTTATAAAGGTTTAAACAGTAACAGGTGGGTATTTGTGAAGGATTCTAATGTGTGAGGTAAAATATCTTGTTGCTTTTTTCTATGAGGTGATGAATGTAACAAGAACTAAACATTGCATTTCCTGCAAAAAAATAAAAAGCTTATTGCTGAAGATTTTAGCTGAAATCAGTTGTAGGTGTTAAAACCAGGCTAAAAAGGGTTCTCTGCTAAACTGTTAATGCGAGTTGAATTTGAACAGCTGACATTTGCTGAAAGCAGGAAAGTACAGTATAAGCGGAAAGCTGTGGAATAAACAGCAGAAATGTGTAGAAAAAGCGGAAATAGGTAGAGAGAGGCTGAACAGATTACAAAAAATCTGAAACTAGCAAAAATGAAGCTGAAACGAGCAGAAAGCCAAAAAAAAGTAGCTGATTAAGCTAAACAAAACCAGCTAAAATTAGCAGAAAGAGGCCAAAAGGAGCATTTAAAGTTGAAATTATTAGAAAGGAGTACAAAGGGTAGGATTTAGTAAGAAGAAAAGAGGCTAAAGTTAGCAGAAATTTACCCAAAAAGTAGCTGAAAAAAAGTTCAATAGCTAAAAAGGAGCTGAACCAGAACAAAAGCTGAAATGACCAGTAAAAGGGTTTTAAACAGCACAACGGGTTTGAAGATGTGAAGAGAGGCCGAAAAATCTAAATATTTCAAAAGGTGAAAAATGCACAAATATCAAAAATCAAAGCAGGAATGTCCTAAATGAGCTGAACATTTTGATATATGTTGAAACAAATAATTGCAGCACAAGTTGGATACTGAAACACGTACAGAAGAAAAATGGATCTCAATAATGTGAATGCTTTATGAATAAAAGATGGTTCAGCTTCAATCATCAGGTTGCTCGTGCCTCAAAGGAAACAGTGCAGGATGCAAAGCTTCATAGAAAGTCTAAAAATGCTTTTATTGATTAAAAAAATTGACATGATTTTTATTATTATTTCTTTTCACCCAGTTTTACCCTGAAACACACACATGCATCGACAAGAATCAGTTTAGACTTGATATTCGTTTCATACCTGGCAGTCGATGCACACTCCTCCTCCTCTGTACCTGCCGAAGGTGTCCAAACTTGCTCGCCTCTTTTCCACCTCTGGGTCGTAATAACAGTCAAAGGCATGGGAGAAACACTGGCAGGCTGTGGTGGAAAGCCCCAAGACACACACACAAACTCAGATTCTTTTCTATTTACTCAACAAATTATCTCCATTTCTGCCATCTAGATTTAAGAGCTTTAAGCGACGTGCTAAGCACTAAGAAAAACTTTAAATATAAAATAAACACGACAGTGTATCCTCCTCCTCTGTAGCATCCCCGTGTCTTGTCATTATATATGGTTAGGATGCATGTCTACTGAATGAGTGCTTTGGTTGAATTATAGGCCTTTTTCATGTTTTTTTCTTTTGCGGCTGCTGTCGAGTCATTTTCCATCTGATACAGACTCAGACGGCTGCATGGATGCGTCACCTACAACGCCTCACAGTGTAAGATGGTGCAGGCCTGCCTGTAAGAAGAGCAGCTATCACACAGCTATTCACAGTGCTCTTCGTCACATGCACCATATGTGGAAAGTCCTCTCGCCTCCACATCGAGGCTCTATGCAATACCATATGAGGACATCCACACCGGGGCTTTAATTTCAGAGGCGAGAGGACACTTGGGTACTCTGTACAGAGCTGTAACTCAAGGTGCTTGTTTACACGTCCAATGAGCTGTTTAACAAGAATACTTACGCTGACACTCGTTGGGGCTGTCAACGGTTGCAGCACGCCACGGCATCTGGTTAAAGCCTGGGCAGCAGCGGTCACATGACTCACCGCAGGTGTTGTGCTGGCACTCACACTGGAGTCTACAGAAAAGGCATGAGATAACAGGACTTGGTGATTTGGTTATTGTTGTGTGAATGTTTATGAAGCATTCACACTGTTGTGATTTATTACTGCTGTGCATTTTATGGCATCTTTCTTGTTCCACATTTTTTGTGCTGTTTTCAACAAATCATATATAAAATGTTCAGCTTGTTCAGGAGAAGGATGCTATGACTTTTGGTATTGGTGCAATTTTAGCCTTTTGAAAATTTAGCCTTTTCTGCTATTTTTTTTTCTCATAGAAAATGAATTGAGCTCATTTGACATCCTTCATATCTTTAAATCTGTTTACAAATTTTTACTGCTCCTTTCACATTTTGTTGTGGTTCAGCTTCTTTTAGCTTCCTTGCGCAAATTTAAACTTTTTTTTTCACCTATTGACAGCTAATTTCAGCTGTTTTGTCAGCAGTTTTTCAGATGTTTTTTGCTCCTTTTAGATTATTTCTACTAACTACATCAGTTTTGTGCTTCTTATAATTCTTTGTGAATTTCTGTTTGTTATGCTCCTTTCAGCTTATTTATGCAAGTTTCAGCTTTTTCTGTTATTTCAGCGACTATTTAGCTGTGTTATGCTAATTGTAGCTTTTTCGGCTAATTCCACATTTTTTGCAATAAATTAAAATTTTTCAGCCTAATTAAGCAAAAATGTGCTCTCACCACTTCCTTCTGGTAATTTAAGCTTCTTTCTGCTTTTCAGCTACTTTTCAGCTGTTTTTTTTTTTTTCAGCTTTTATCAAATAATTTCCACTGTTTTGTGCTCATTTCTGCAAACATGTGTTATTTCTGCTTTCTTCTGTTAATTTAAGCTTGTTCTACATTTTCAGCTACTTTTTAGTATTTTAGCTCATTTTAGCTGTTTTTAGATCAATTAAAATTTTTGTGGAAATTTCTGCTACTTTAAGCCTAAATAACTTATTTCTGCAAATTTTAGCTTGTTATGCTCCTTTCAGCTTTTTTCTGCTAGTCTCAGTTTTTTCTACTATTTCAGCTACTATTTAGCTGTTTATGTGCTAAATTTAGCTTTTTCAGCTAATTCCACATTTTGGGGCTTATTTCAGCTCCTTCACCTCCTTCTGATAATTTAAGCGTTTTTCAGCCTTTCCAGCTACTCTTCAGTTATTTTTTGCTAAACTCAGCTTTTTTTAGCTACTTCCCTAATTTTTGTGCTAATTTCTGCTTTTCTAAACCTAATACAGCAAATATGTGTTCTTTCTGCTTTCTTCTGCTATTTTAGACGTGTTCTTCCATTTCAGCATGTTGTTTTAGCTCATTTCAGTTGCTTTTCAGCAGGTTCTTCGGCAATAAGCATTCACACTGCGCTTTCGCAGAAAATGCAATTTCTCTAGTTAATATTTTTTGAGGTAATACTACAAGCTGCTCATCACTGACACGTTATCACAACACAGTTACGGCAAACCATTCAGAAAAGTCGCCCTAACGGACAGAAGAAGGTAACATTAGAATTAACTGGTAGAATAGTTTCAGATTATCAGACGTCAACATGTTCTGCTTTAAGCCCATTTTGGCTGCAGACTTGCACAGTACCAACAACACTGTGATGTAAAGTTTCTTTGCTCAGACTACTGTCTTGCTCTCATGTTCTCATTTGGATATTGTTGTCAGTATATTTACTTGTCTCTACTGTTTCATTTGTCATTGTTTCGCCCAGTTGTCTTTGCCTTCAGTTGATCAGTCACACATCAGTTTGTAATTTGCCCAGCTGAACTCAATCACTAATCACCTCTCCCAGCCTAGTTATACTCCTGACGCTCAACAAAAAAGGTTAAATCATTTCATTCAGGCATTGTTTGATCATCTTCTTCGCCTCTTGTTTTTTTATTGTTGTTTTTTCCTCCTTGCCTTTTGTTATGTGCTGCCTTGTCAGCATTTTTGTTTTATTAAGCTATCATATCACCTTGTACTATTGCCATGTGTCTACATATGGGTTCCCTCAGTTTTCTTCTAATGTAGGGACTTGCAGCCTTTATTCAGGGATAAGGTGTTGCTCCAAGATAATCATCCCTGAAAGAATCTGTGCCGCACTGTCTGAAATGTTCACAAAGCAAGAGAAGCAGCTCTTATTGATTAGCTTTAAACCTCAAAGTAAACTCCATAATGGTTACGATTTAATTTATTGTGTGAGTGTTGTTAGTTTATTGTGGTTTGAATGTTTTATTGTTGAGCTTGTGGGTCACGGCAGGAATTAATGCTTTTATTGTTCTCAACGAGGTATTAGGAGCCTTCATTTCAACAAACCGAGAACGTCAGATGAAAAACCAGGGCAGTTTTAACTTTGTAAACATGTTTCATATAAAAATAGTTTCTGTTGAAATTGTACACAAAAAAGTGCATCTTCTGGTGGCATGGTGGCGCAGTTGGTAGCGCGGCCGCCTCTCAGCGAGAAGGTCGTTGAATCAAATCCCGGCCAGGGGCCTTTCTGGGTGTAGTTTGCATGTTCTCTCCGTGCATGCGTGGGTTTTCTCCGGGTACTCCAGTTTCCTCCCACAGACCAGAAACATGCATGTTAGGCTGACTGGTAACTCTAAATTCTCCCTGTGAGTGAGAGAGTGAATGGTTGTTTGTCTCTATGTGTCCCTGAGATGTCCAGGGTGTCCTCTGCCTCTCGCAGCGTGATAGCTGGATATGGGCACCAGTGACCCCTGTGACTCGAAAAGAAGCGGTTAAAAGATAATGGATGATGAAAATGCATCTTCCTAATTCCATCACTGTTGTCTACTTTATTCTTGGAAACAGTATTTTTATGTGTTTTTATTTGGTAGAACTTGAATGCATGGTGTAAAACAGATACCCCGAATCATAAATGAGAACAATATTTTGCATTGCATCTAAATGACACCTTTAAGCTACCAGCACAACCTGTTTACTTTATATCCTCTTCAAGTGTTACTAACATCAAGTTAAAGAGGTTTATACTCACAGAATCTGCATCCCCCTCAAGAAAGACTGATATTTTTTCACCTCAGAGTTTCCCCCAGATTTGTTGCTACTTTAAATTTGGAGGGGACTCAGATTCTGGCAGGTGACTCCGTGTCTTCGTTTTATGTTGCATTTTTGGATTTTTGAATTCTTGGACTTCCTGCTTAAGCATTGGTTTTTTTTTTTCCTACGATTTCAGGCACCAATAATTTCGTGTTCATTATTCATCAGAGTCCAACATTCTGCATGTGGGCTTCAATCAAATATTTGGATTCAAAGGTTGGATTCGTACAATGTAGACGTCAGTACCATATGAGGTCATTCATTCTTGGAGGTATTTATTGTTCTTGAATGAGGCTGAGTCATGCGTTAAAACGAGGATTGGCAGCATGGTCATGGGCCCTGCCTGTTTCGTTTACAGAACAAATCATCAGCATAGACTGGCTTTCTAACAGTGAAGCCCATTGTACAAAAAGACAACTCTATTAGTAAATAATCTACAAAATCTATTTCACTTACAAGCTGAAAAGTAAATGGAAACAGATCAAGTTGTAATGAAGAAGTTGTTGTATTCAGCATAAAATTATTGTGTCAAACGTCCTTGGGATGTAAATATTGCACTGACCTGTTTGGGTTGTCCAGGCTCTGCCCTGAACCACAAACGTGGGCATGGCCATGACAAACACAGCGTCCCCCGATGCTGATGTCTTTGATACTGTAGAAGTACTGTCAGCAGATTGAAAAGGACACCATTAGCACCAGAACCATTTCAAAGAACCAGATTTTTTATTAGAAACATCTGCAGCAGAAGTGTTTGCCTCTGCTGAGCAGCAGAATTGAATTAAACGTAAGAAAATGAAACTATGACGGACGAGCTGAAAGTTTTATCTGATGACAAGCTTTGACCCAAAAAATTTAAAAAAAATTTCATTCAACCTTTATTTATACAGGTTAGTCTCATTGAGTCACGAGGACTCATTTATAAGAGAGACCTGTTTTAAACAAAACCACAGATAAGGTACACATAAAAATAAACATCTATAAAATGCATATAAAGTGAAAAAGTAAATAAAAGTAGTGATATTAAACAAAATATAAAGAAGCTACGTTATGAAACGGGGTAAAATACTAAAAACAGGAGCATGTCTGCATTGATTACCATAAAACATACAGTAATTTAATAGAATGTTATACCCACAACAAAAAATGACTAGTTTTAGTAGTTTTTTTGTCATTTCCTTTGCAAATATGTGGATACAAGTACTAATACACAGAGTAAATTATACTCACTTTAACGTTATACATAATTTCTTCAAAGTAGGATACTCAGTTTCTCCACAATTTAAAAAAACACATAAGCCTGCACAGTTAATTGTTTTAGCTTTTAAAAAATTGGCAAAATTATATCTTTTTTTCTTTACAATAATCCAGTCTTCTGTGATAGACTTGCATTCATGGATGGATGGATGGATGGATGGATGGATGGATGGAATACAGTCTTTTCTTTTGTCTTAAAATGTAAAAATATCAATAAATGTTAACAATGATTAGATGTTTTTTGTTTTATAATTTCACGCCTCCTCTAACACACTTAAAGTGGCCCATGGACCACCAGTTGATAATAACAATTGTAGCAGGTTTTACCGCTCTGGACACGTTTAGTTTAGTGAACGAAGGTTGCAGACCCCTGATGTAGATGAAAAGTTAATTAAATCCTTTTGCAAACAGAAATGTGTAGTATTTCTGCAATTAAGTGGCTGCAATACTTTCTTTGAAACATAATTTTAACCGTTTTTACAGAAGTTATGATACAGAGATCACCAGTCTTACTGCCTGCTTTGCTAACATAAAATCCTTTGGGCCGAGAAGGGTAGAGGTAGGGCAGCCGATTTGAGACACAAAAGTCCCAGGTTCGACTCCCAGTCATTCCCACATGTTGTGGTGTCTCTGAGCAAGACACCCAATCCCTAATTGCTCCCCGGGCACTTACATAGCTGCTCACTGCTCCGCCTGGGTGTATCCCAGGTGTGATGGGTTAAATGCAAAGAGCCAATTTCACCATTTTATGGGAACATGATGATGACAACACATAGCACTTATCCTCATCCTGCAACCTGAGCCCGGTCCTGTCAAAGGCAGGCTCCACGGACAGAACGGGCATTAGGTGTGAGCAGAGCAGACTGTGTCAGCAGGCAGAAGGTACGAAACTTTAAGTTTAGCTCGCCCAAACGGGGAGATGACAGCGTGCAAACATGACATCTCAGTGTGAAGTTGAGTTTGTGTCTCACCCTGCGTGTGACGGTGGGGTCTCTCTGGGTCTTGGAGATCAAGTGGCCCAGCAGGGTGTTGGTGCGGAGGAAACGCAGGCGGATGTTCGTAGCCTTTGTAAAGTCTCGCAGCACGGGTGAGTAGGTGAAATTTTTGGATCCTGGCCGGCCGTTGATCAGCGAAACCACAATCTGAATGATGCAAACGTTTAAATCAACAAAATTGTTGTTGAAACTGAACAATTCCACAAAATATGTTGTCAAATGTACAGTTTACCTCTCCGTTCTCCAAAGGGATAATCCGAGAGTATTCTGTGGTGCAGATCTGGTCATCGTCTTTTATAATGCGAACGTTGGGATGCTTCCCGAACCTTTCAATGCACTCCCGCTTTAAATCTGCCAAAAGAAGGCAAAAAACAACCTTTGTTACTTTTATCTTTTTATTTCATACTCATACATATAATTTTTTTGCATTGGCATCTTTTCTGTTTTATTACAGGTGAAACTGACAAATAAGTACTAGATAACTTGTGTTTTAAATACTGACAAATTGGACAAGGAGTTAAAGTTATGGGAAGAGTAATATATACCGTAGCTGTAATGTTTTCGCACAGTCAGGTATTATTCTTGAACATTTAAATGATCAAACTCAAAACAGACCATAAATCAAGAGGAACTTGAATGAATTATACAGAGAAGCACTGGCAGTGTAAACCTAATGAGTCACATAATTGTCTTTGTGTACATCTGCCTTCCAGATATGACATATCATGCCTCATAACTCTGAAATGTCAAGTCATAAAACATATTTATTCAGGTAATTTGGAAATGTGGTGACATTGCAGGCCTGGTATTTAGGTTTGCCTCATGTTTCTCCTCATTATTGTGAAAAGATAGATTCCTCCACTGTCAGGTTTTGATTTTCCTACAAACCCCACACACACACTTACAGCTGCTGTCTTCATGTGACATTACCCTGACTTCTACTCTTTGTGCACTAATTTAAAGCCTTAGAGAACATTATTAGAACAAGTTAATGCCTAATCTTAAACTTCACCTAACTCTATCAGGACCTCACAGATGACCTTCTTCCACGTGGAGATTGGACTTCATTCCACACTGCACGTCTAAACAAGGTCCGTGCAGAAAAACGTCCTAACGCACTAATAAAAAAGAACACACACTTGTGTTTCCATGACATCAGACATTATTATTAAGTCTTATTTTAACCTGGATCGAAGCCAACCCCAACACTGAAACTTGTCTGCGCCTTAAAATACTTTGATTTATATCAGGTGGATTGACTTTTTTTTTTTAAACGTTTGACTTTTTATGAGGAATAAAAGTCTCAATAATGCGACGGTGTGAACAGATTTAGGTTCCAACAAAACAAATAAAATCTGGACCACACGTATGGTGGCGCACATTCTTCCGGCCTTAAGGCTAATCGGTGTGTAGGGATTAAACGTCCACCAGGAAGCGCATATATATCCATTTTCATTATATGTTTCTTTAATGGCAGACAGTTAAACTTGTCGCAGCAGGACAGAAACTGGAGCCGTTCATCTCAGCTGCACTCTGCTTCGGCTCCACTTGGGGGTTCTGGTGATGACGTCTAAACTGGATCGCTGGATGCTTTTGCAGATATGAACCATTTCCATGCTCCTGAATCTGTAATCTAACTAACAAATAACTGAGGCACCGAGCAGGAAGTGATTCTTCGTGTTTTTTTTAATAGATTAAAACGTGCATCATTGCAAAACACTGAAACGTTTGGACTCACGTGCAAAGTACTGCCAGGGGGTGAACGTTCTGCCATTGTCCACGGAGCGCTCCAACACCCACAGGTCAGGACGAGGTGAATTGGCAAACTTGATTAGGACGTACGCCACATGGAAGAGCTGAGAACCAGGACACAAAGAGCAGGCTAAACAAAAGGCGCTCACTGCTCAGAGCGGATTTTGGCAAAAAGCTGCAGCTTCCTGTGCTCTGCTGCTTCTATTGAGTAAAGCCTCAGCTTTTGGGCTCTGACAGGTTTCTTATTTCCTTTCTTGTGAAAGTCTGGGCTCAACGTCAACATCGGCATTGTGTTTCTTTAAGGAATCCTGGCAGAATTAATGACTTGAACTGAACTGGGTTTTCCTGCCTTGAGATGGTTTGTATTCAGCTTGAGTGACTGCAGCAGAATCTGGGCACGCAGAAAAGTTCAAACAACCTCCGCAGGTGCGGCCAGTTCGTGAAAAGACTTACCTGATTCCCGTTTGTTCTCTGAACTTTTTTATCTCCCCCTCCCATCGGATCATAGAGTCCATACAAGGGCAGAAAACGCTGCCAGTGATTGTCTCTGTCAGGCCCCTGATTGCTCAGTGAGCTGTGCTCCCTTTGCATTTCATCAACATTATTCACAAACGCTGAAAGCAACTATAAATGAGCTTGATTGACCATTGTAGGGCAGAAAGGTCATTTTTAGGAGCCAAAGCTATTTTTTTTTTTTTTGTTTGGTCTTCAACCCTGCAATGCCAAACTGCACGTGACACTTAGTGTCAACAAAAGGCCACGCTTAAAGAACGCCTAAATGCTGACAAAGAACCTAAAGTGCAGCAAGGCTCAAAGGAAGAGCACTACAAGAATGCACGCTCGGCGTGCAGCTGATGAATAAAATGTTGTACCCTATCTTTAAAAAAAAAAAAAACATTTTTGCAGGCTGTCTGTCTTCAGAATGATGAAGGCAGGCCCACACTCGTCTTTCATCCCTCAACACCTTGATAAAAAGCCAGGCAGGCGCTGAAAAAACAGTTTTCCATCTAACCCTTGCATGAAGCAAAGAGGGTTTTTTTTAGCACATCAAAGCTTGACAAAAATCAACTGACTGTTGAATCACTCGCTGTTTCAAAAGGTATCTACAGTTTTGGATGAATTCCTCCCCCTACCCAAAGAAGAAGAAGCCTCAAATTAGCCTCTTGGGTTGATGTATTGTGAGAGAGTTCAGAGGTCAACTGGAAAATGGTCTTGTTTTGAGCACACTGTCAACAAACATTAATAACTAACTACAAAATTAGCAGGTTGCCGACTGGGAATAGTCCCCAATTTGTCTTTAATCAGCAATGTTACAGAGGAAAACGGCCAGACTGCAAGAATGTCTCCTACAAACCAAAGCTTTGGGTGTGTCCTGAAATTAATCAGAGGACATTTCCACTCTCGTCTAACAGGATGCACAAATAACAAATAAAAGAGGGAAAAAAGAGGAAATGTGCTGTCATTTATTAATAGACGTAAGAGCTTATCGTTTCTGCTGAGGATGGAGAGGATGTTTAGTTCACACGGGCTGCGATGGCATGAAGGAAGCAGGGTAAAAGGCTAGGGGTGCCGAGAGACGTGCAGGCTGGCATGCAGACCCATCTCAAATTCCAAACATGGCGCCACCCCCCACCCCCCTTCAAAAGAAGCAGAACTCGCTGCTGCTTTCAGGAACCTGTCAGTGACACATTGCAGTGAAGATCCTCTCTGACACTTGTTCTTGTACCGGGGAGAGCACGAACAGATCCTCAACCGCCTTCATCTCAAATCCTACAAGCAGGCGGTGGTGGGGTGAGGAGCTGGGTTTGAAATAGTTTTTACTTAATTATGCATCACTAACGATGTCACTCAGCCACCATTGTTCCTGCGCATCTTTTCAAAACGAATAACTGTCTAAAAGAAACGGAGCCATGCGCCGCTTCCCCTTGTGCCAACAAAGTATTTAACATAAAAACCATCGTTTTCAGATGGATCAGAATCATGAAAAAGAACGTGCAGTCATGTTCCCCATAGCTTTGACATCATACATCATTATCGTATTTATTTTGGTCAAAGTTTTATATTTGGTCCGTTAAACCAGAACACAGGCCTTTTGCCACCAATGTGAGAAGAATCTGTCTCCGCTGACGTAAGCCTGGAAGAAGGAGTCCTGTCCAGGCCTGGCTTTCCTGCCTCTCCAACTGTATCCAGCCAAACTAAACACACGCTCCCGAAATGTGCCCAGAACATTTGTACTGTTTGGAGAGAGCTTGAAATATTGTGATGACACGTCGTGCGCATGAATGGAGGATTCCGGTGGTGTGAAAGATTTTAAACACGTTGACAAGCGTGTGGCTAATAGACTTGGAATAACACTTGAGCTGAGCCTTCCCAGCATCGGCAGCAGCTTTAGATAAGGCCGCCATGCGAGGGGGGTTTAGTGTGAGACTGGTTTCGCAAAGGTCAGAGCCTGAACGGTGGCAGGTATGGACAACCTTCCTCGCTTTTCATCACCCTTCTTTAATTCCTGACCTTGACGGCTGCGTGTTACAAATACGAGGCACGTGATATCCAGATCTCCTCTTATTAACACATCGGAACCAAGAGAGCTAGCGACGTCCCATTAGACCAAACACCATTTTAACAACAACGCATTAATGTTTTCCCAGCTTTTTATTCTCCGTCTCACAAGGACAAAATGACTTGGGATGAGCACTTTACAATCTACTGAATCTGTTGATTGTGAGTCGGCGTAACGCCTTATGTTGTTGTTGCCTGAATTATCAAATGTACACGACAAAACCTTGAATAATAAAATCCAGTTACTGATTATGACCGTTTAAATGAGATAAACCTTTAACGTCACATGTGCTTGACCTTGTACCCTAAGAGAAATCAAAATATTTAAAAAACCCTGACTGCTTAACCTCTAGCCAGATAATTAAATAAGGTGAGCCGTAAATTTACAAAGAAGTCGCTCGCACACGTTTTAAACGGTTAGGATTATGGTTTCTGTAGCAATGTCTTGACTTAATTATCCATAAATTTGACATTTTGAAATGTAGTAAATACTGTGTGCTGACAAGTAGAAATGAAACATTTAGACATGATGCAAAACTAACAACTTGATTCCAAAATGTTGTGGAAAATGATAATTAAAACAACCTGCATGGATTTGGTAATAAATCTGAAACTAGAGAAAACAACATAAGCTTTTAAACTCTTGTTTTAAATGTAGACATTATGTTTGGACTATTTTAAATAATTTGGAACTAAATGCTTGAAATCAAAATTAGAAAAGAAAAGTTGACCAGTTTTATTTGGCTTAGTTTTTCCCTGATAAATGGTCCCAGTTGTTCAATAATTTGTGACCTGCTTTGTTTTGTCAGAAGGTGACACATCTGGATTTGACTTAGTTACCAAATGTTTAGTTTTTATTAAGGACCTCTGTGTTATAGTTCAGATAAAGTGGGGATTCCAACAGCTGGTTCGTGTCCTTGATTGCTAGCAGGACCTTTCACAAAGTAAAAGTCTCTAAATTATTAATAAAAATTATTTGGCTTGGTGGTTAGTTCCACAGTCTTGTTATATTGAGGTTGCAGGTTCAAGCCCAGGTTGCATCAGGAAGGGCATTTGGCATAAAACAAATTGCCAAATCTGTCATGCGAGTTTCACTGTGGTGACACCTGATGAAGGGAGCAACCAAAAGAAACTTACTGTTTATAAAAATTGTTTAAATGAATTTTAAAAAGCACAACACTTTTGAGTGCAGATGGTGTTTTGTGAGAAAGATTCTCAGAATTTTAGATTGTATGAATCTATAATGATCATAACGATTCTAACAAAAGCACCACAGGTGGATCTGTGAGGCTGAAGCTTCAGTTTTGATTACATTAAGAGGCATTATGAATACAAAACCACACGGACAACATAAACACTCAATTATATATAAAAAATTATATCACTTTTTCAACAAAACAAGTAATTTGCATGCATGCTGAATGTGGTTTGGTGTTCCTGAAACACTACCATGTACGGTAATCTGTTGTTTTGTTGGGTCTCTGCAGTCTTCAGCCTGGAGGCTGTTTTTTTCTAAGGATAATTTAAAATTAAGATTTGTCAGATCAAATAACACTTTTCTATCTTAACTCAAGGCATGGCTGTTTGGCCCCAGAAAAAGCAGCGTAATATCTTATTCATGTTTATAATTTATCTTCTCTCCAATCTGGCTTCAGGAAACAACACAGCATAATGACTGCTTTACTACTGGTTTTGAATGATGTTGTTGAAGCTTTGATGCTAAGGATCACTGTGCTGCACTTTACTTAGACCTGTCCAAAGCTGTTGATACTGTAGATCATGACATCTTATGCCATAAGCTCTCAGATATTGGCTTCTCATATCATACTGTTGGCTGGTTCTCAAACAATCTCTCAAGTCAGAGGTAATGTGTTCGACATAACAGTACTTCATCTAGCTACCTAACAGTCACTAATGGTGTGCCGCAAGGCTCTGTTTTAGGTCCCACTCTTTTTACAACTTATATAAATAATGTAGGTCAAAACATTCCTGACACATCCTTGCATCTCTATGCCGACGATACTGTTGTTTATTGTCGAGCTAACGCAAAGGCTTTCCAGCTTCTACAGTCTGCATTTGACATCAACCAGTCAGACTTATTCCATCTGAAACAGGTGCTAAATGCCGAGAAAACCAAAGGGATGTTGTTTTCCAACAGAAAGTTGGTGCCAGCAGTTCTTCCTCAGAGCTCATCCACACATGGTGTTTCTATTGAGTTTGTGGATTCTTACAAATATTTGGCAATTTTGGTCAATGCACATCTCTCTTTTAAACCACATATCAAAAACTTACCTTCTTTATCAGAAATAGATCTTGCTTAACTTTGAATGCCAGAAAACACCTTGTAACTGCTACCTTTCTACCAGCCGTTGACTATGGTGACATTATTATTATTTTTTTTTAACTATTTACATGAATGCCCCTGCCAGCTCCTTGCAGATGTTGGATGCTGTCTACCATGGTGCGCTAAGATTCATCACTGGTTGTAACTACCATACCCATCACTGCACCCTGCACTCCTTGGTCAGTTGGTCATCATTATCTA